AACTCACCTAAGAAGGCTTCACTGAGTTTGGGTGGTCTATAAACTGTGGCAATAATAGTAGATTGGGGGATAGAAACATTTACAAGAAGACACTCAAAAGAAGAGGGAGGAAGTATAGTAATAGGACTATAAATAACAATGATGTCCCCGCCTCTGGCTGAAAGACACGGAAGGTCAAACAAAACAAACCCAGGAGGGGCTAGTTGGTTAAACAGGAGTCTGTCATTTTGTTTGTGCCTGGTTTCGGTTAAGCACAGAAGGTCCAGTTTTTTTTCTTTGATAATGTCACATAAATGAAGAGCCTTGCTGTTTATGGACCGGGTATTGAGTAGCGCTGATCTGGCCAGTCTCAGAGATTCAGGGGGAAGCAGAGTGCGCTCTGGGTACGGTAGATATAGGAGATTTTTTTAGGTTGGCGCCGGTACGGGATGGATTTACAGTCGTTCACCGAAAGGCAGGGATAGAAACTCCGCTGGCAGATGAATGAAAGAAACGGCGTCCTGTGCTGCAATGGTTGTAGCGACTCGGTCGTAAAATCCCAGTAAAACGGCAAGAATCGAATGGTCTTTTACCAAGAAGTAGTTTTGTTTTAGTTGAAGAGGGTGCAGTGCTGTGTACCTCAGAGACATAATCGATGAATCCAAGATGGTGTAACAAGACAGGAAGGAGATCTAGAGTAAGGCGGTAGAGTAAGTGTTGAAAGTCTTCAGTTGAGCAAATTCACAATGCAAGTGGAGGTTGAAATCGAAATTAGAAATCAGTGTTGCCAAGAAGATAAAGGAAAAGTAAAAAAACATAAATAAGTAGATTAAAAAATGAAAAACTGGTGAGAGGAGTGGCAGCCAAACGCGCCAGTGTTCCCTGTCTTCCGGAACCGATAAAGTCAATCCGGTTCTCAGATTTTGGTTCTAGAAAACCCTGTATTTGTTATTTGTTCCAAATGGTTCCTTATTATAAAGCTTCATACTTGTTTAGACTTTTTCCTGAACTTTTCTTGGTTTCACATTACCCTAGTTCAAGTATTTTTTTCAAAAGCATTAGTACTTAGTACTTTTGTATTTATGCGGTCTCTCCTGAACTTTTCTAAACATTTTCTACTTTTTTTATAATTAAACAGCCATTACTAGATTAATCGATAATGAAAAGGTACACACTGGTTGGTATACAGTATCAGAAAACCCACAACACTGAGATAGTTTTTCCTGCTTAAGTTCAAACTCTTATATTTCAGCTAGCAGACATGAATGAGGTCATTCATTCAACTCTTTAATTAACGCAAGGTTCATACCAATTGCAAATCATACAGCTTTTTATTTTTATACATTTTCTGTTATTTTTAATATTTTGCCTTTTCTGAATTCAGACAATGAACGAGTCAGGGAGATTGTGTTTTCACAAAGAGGTAACAGTATCACCAGCTAGCTTTATGCAGTTATTCTTCATCTTATCTTGTGTCTTCATTTACCATGAACATGATTGCAAACATCTGTACCAGGGTATTTTTTAAATCAAGGTCTAAGTACAGAATAAAAATCTAAACTAGCAAGCAAATCAATTGCTGGAAGCAATTAGCATTAGTAATTAAATACCCAGAACAAAATCTAGAAGACAAGGGTACTCCAGGACCACGACTGCTGTAGTTGTCGAGCTGGATATCCTACTCTGAGCTGGATATCCTACTCTGGGTTCTTGCATTTGGAAATCTAGAGATTTTCTTCACTGGACTTGCAAAACCTTACATGGAGATGTGAAATACTAAAAAAATATTGATTAAGAAAGACTCTTTTCCCATATGTTGTACATGACATGCTCTTTACAGATCTCTCAAGGAAAAAAAAAGATGAATTCACAAATTCCAGGTCAAAATTTCAAAATCATTCTGTAAGGAGGTTAACACATTTCTTTTTTGGGAGAGTGCATAAGCAGGTAACCATAATGGCTCAATAATGTGGGAAAAAATACACCTGGGTGGAACAAGGTTTGTGTTAAAGTCGTAATTGTCAAGTTGTCACAAGGAAAAGGAGAAAAAAACCTTAGGGCATGACATAACACAAACTGAATTGATTAAAAATATCATAACCATGACTGAATTGCTCTTTGATAATTTCCCTCTATTTCTGGCAAAAGAGATTTCTTTTGCATTTTAATTTTTTAAAATAATTTCAAATCCAAGATGAATAAAGTTTCTGGGGCCTCTTTGTACGTTTATGCAGTTTAGCAATCACAGAAGACAGGATTAAACGTAATTGTTTCAGAACCACTGTGCCTGAATTAAGCTTGTTTTTGAAAGGCTTTATTTTGTGGCCTTATTATTATTAGTTATTATTTTGTAAAATAATAAACAAGGCAGTAGTCACTACTGAGGTCTTTGTATGCAGTGCCCAGCAAAATTATTCGGATACTTGCACAGTTCTCACATTTTATTGCTTTAAAGTGTGTAGTCAAGACTCTTTGAAGTAGCAATTACTATGTACATTATACAAAATGTACTCCATGTATTCACAGCAAATAAGGACAAACCTGAGCAAATTACTGAAGTAACACTTCAAATGTTGAAAAATGAGTTTGAACTGGAACTTTTTTGTCTAAAAGTGTTACATTTGGCATAGGTCCAACTTAACATGATCTGAAAGATAATACTCAATAAATCACATACACAATCAGCATATTATTTATTTTTTCTGATTAGATTTTGCAGATATTAACTGTAATTTTATTTTCCTTAAAAGGCTTATTTTTGAACATTCAGGCTGTGAATAAAATCTGACTTTTTAAAAATATATGCAACATTTTGTAACTTCACAAAATGGGACACCAAAGGAAGGTTTTGCATACTTTTTCAAGGCACTGTATACAGTGTGGACAGCTTAGAAATAATACAGATTGAGTTATGCTGTAAATCATAGTTTGGATCATGTAGTGTTACATTAAAGTCACATCCATTCACAGGTCGATTAATTTAAGTTATCTGTATTGAAATTAATGTACTGTATGTGGGTTTTGATTAATATTTATGTGTGAAGACCATTGCTAAGAAAATATATTAAATGTTGGCATTAGACTGCTGCTTTACACGTTAAACACCCTTGGAAAAATACAGATCTAAGAGTATTATACTATTCATTTATCAGTATGTTCAATTGTGCACATTTGCAGGTCAAAGATAGACCTGAAGGAGGACTCTCTTAACAAACACGCAATAAGCAGTTCACAAGCTGAACATCCAAAAACATAACAGTGATATACTGTACCAGTGAAACTAAAATATTGTTAACAGTGCATCCATTCTCCTATTTCCATAGGATACTAGTGTTACACAAAGTACTAATACACATACTGTACAATATTCACCTATAATTGGATCTAATATGCTGTATGTCCTTGTTGTCTCATTAAAGTAATGTATTTCAAGTAGGTAGCTGCGTCAGCATGCGTAGGCTGCAATGGAACAGGTAAGGGGTTTTATTCCATTCTTTTATTTTCTTTTCTTTTCAGCATGGAATAAAACCTGTTACCTGTTCCACATTAGGATAATGATCAAAGACTTGCAGATGTAGCTTTCCTTGGTACATATGCCAAATATGGCTTGGCAGAACATGTGTAATCTGAAAGACTGAGCATTCCCCTGCATTCAGATCCGTTTGTGTTTGATTGTCATGAATAACATTTTCTGAAGTAGTGCACTAATGCACCCTGTTGTATTGTTTGGTAAACTGCAATAGTCTTGGCGTTTCTAACTTGTGTATACTTCTGACATTAAACCAGTCCACAGTGACTGCACTGATACCGTCTGACAGTGCCTGTAGCAAATATATTTTAAAAATAGTAGCTCTAGTAATTCTTACATTTTATTGATTAGTTGCCTTTGATAAATAAAAATGTGAACACTATATTAAATAAGGTTTTGTTACTCATTCCAGCAGTGCTATAGCACAGTATTTTTTGTTGGAAAGTAAAAACATTCTAATGGATACTCAGTGCCTAGATATACCCTACTGTATATGTAGACATGCTCTCTTTCTTCATTTGGCTTTTGATGGAAATTAAGGGATTATTAAGGGAAATTAATTTTTCATGGGAAACTGAACAATTCTGAATATTTTTCTTTATTCTTTTGGCAGATGCCTTTGTGAGAAAATATGAAAGAATTACATTTATTAATAGAGTAATACTGTCCATATTGGTGAAAATATTCGGATTTCCCAATGAGTGCATTTGGAAGCGGCAAGAATAGCTGAATATTATTGAACAATATATTAACATAACAATTCCATTCCAAGCTTCTTGCAGAATTTTATTCAGTTGAAGATAATGGTGGGGTTGAAAATCCCATTCCACCACTGTGAGCAGTTATGAATTGGATTGAGATCTGTAGATTGTTTTTGACAGGGGAGGTCATAGAACTCTGTTTCATATGCCTCAAGTCAGCCACATATTACCTGTTACTGAGAGAGTTTATTCCTTTTACTGCAATTCTAAGATGTTTTCTAGTGATAGTATGTAGAATACAGTAATAAGTGTCGTTTTGTAGTCCGTTAGAGGAGTATAAACAATCCATTGGGGCAATGCAGTAAATATGATTAATTAAGTGTAAAGTAGTGCATTATGATGAAGAAGGTTCAGATGAAAAATGAATAATAAGAAGAAATATAGAATGAATTTTCAAATGCTTCATATTCAAGACTTTTGAATCAAAATCTTCAAATCCTTACAGATGTGTACAGTATTAAAGGATTTTGTTTTCACTTAGGTAAAGTTATTAAAGCTCTTTACCTGGGCAAAGAGATAAGTTGATCATTTTAAGGTTGAATTATGTACATTTGTCCTTTTTCCACAGCCTTCATCTGATGGTAATTTAAAGAGATATTGGAAAACCTGTTGGATTCTGAACCCCAAGGGCTAGGATTAAGAATATTCGCATGGCTTTTAACATGTTTTTTCCTCCTTTTCTAGACAATAAGTGTGTGATTTTATAACAGCAGGGCTTTGTTCTTTTGCAGCTGAGGCTGGATACTTTCTTTACCTAAAGGAGCCTGCTGGACAGGTACCTGGGAACTATGGAAGAACGGGTGCAATGGGCCCGTTTCCCATGGCAACGGCTGGTTTCTGCTAGGGCCAGACACAACCAGGAATACCCTCCACTCCAGTCTAAGAGCTTGCTCTACCAGTCCCCAAAGAGTATCAGCAAGCACAGAACTGTAATCCCCTGCCTGGGCCCCTTCATAGAAGAATATGAAAACATTTCCAAGACCTATATGGACAACAGTATAAGGACAACCAAATACACTGTATTGAATTTTATTCCCATGAACCTCTTTGAGCAATTTCACAGGTAGGTTATGAGGAGTTTGGTTTTCATTTCTAACTGGTGTTCTCTCTTCTGTGCGAATGTGTTTGGTATTACTTGGAAAAATAATTTGTGTTTTTCCTTTTTGTTTTCTTAAAATTAATTTTAATTTCATCAGTATAATTATTACTCAATTGTTATCATTTTCGGCTTCTTAAACATTAAATCTATTTTAAAAATACTGAATGGTATTTATATCCTTAGATGAGTACAGGATATTTCTTTTTACAGACCCCCACACAATTTTGAATCACCATTGTAATACTAATTTAGTTTTACCTCTTTAACCTTCATGCTAACACTGGCAGAACATAGACTGTACAATTGCATATTGAAATTATACATTTTCCATATATGAAATGTTTTGTTTTATTTTTAAATTTTACTGTGAGGGAAATTTTAAGTACTTTTCTTAGTCTTGGACAAAATAAGTTAAATCAGATCATTTAACTTATTGGTTATATAAAACAGTCATAAAAGATGTTACAGTGCCTATAGAAACCTATACACACCCTTTCCAAACTAAGACCTTTTATAGCTTTATAACCTGAAATCAAGATTCAATCATAATTTATTTTACTTTTTTTTAGACAATATAACAAAGAACCTCCAAGTGAAAAACAAATGCTTAAACATTCTGGAAGTATTTACAATTGAAAACCTAGAAAATAATGCCGTTCCATGGTGCTATATGTGGAACAGGAGTAAATTGGCTTTATTAAAGCCATATCAATTACTCACTGTCGTTATTGTATCTCATGCCTTTGTGTTTCAGGGCTGCCAATCTGTACTTTCTCTTTATTGTCATCTTGAACTGGGTGCCTGTGGTTGAGGCTTTTCAAAAGGAAATCACAATGATTCCCCTGCTTGTTGTCCTGATTGTCATTGCCTTTAAAGATGCCCTGGAAGATTACAGAAGATACACTTTTGATAAAAAGATAAACAGCAACATAACTAAAGTTTACAGTAGGTAAGTTGTTAAATTCATGATTGTGTCCATGTGGTCGATCTCACCCCTAACTCTCATGTCCCTCCAGAGCAATTTTTTTAAAAATTTGGAATTGACTATAGACATTCAGAGACCAAGATAAATAAGTCAGTAATGTTTGACGAAAGGACTATGCAGGAAAGAGTATATTTAAACAGCAGCACAGTGATGATGTTAGAGCTACTGCCACAAAGCTCTTTGCAAAAGCACGGTTGCAAAAGTACGCTGGAGGATCTTGGCTGCCACATCACTACAGTGACTTTGATTTTGTATCAGTTTTTTATAGTACAATGGTAATAAACTACTATTGCAAAAACCTAATAATAGGAGGTTACTAAAAAAGAAAATCGTGTCCTGACTCTAGCTAAGCAGATTATGAAAGTTAACAATTGCACACTCTCTATTGTCAGGAGCAACCTGTGATACCTATAGGCTGCTTTCTTTAGTTCTCTGGCTGAGGTAACAAAGTAATAAACCAGGAAGCTCAATTTACAAAATGAGCAGATTTATATTTACAAAACCAGAAAAACACCATGTCAAAATGTGCTTGGATTTAATTAACTGGTCAGGTTCACACAGTTACTGTTTTATTTGTTTTAAATAAAATTCATAAAGGCGCTTCCAGCTAAACTGCAGTGCAATTAAATGAGTAATAAATATGAAAGGCTGGTGGGACTTAGTGACCTTTCTTCTGCTTGTATCAGTCACTGGGGTATTAGGAAGTATGAAGATTCTAACAAACCGCAGTTTTAAAAGGCTTTCTTCTTCAACAAATCAACCAGCTACAGTAAAATATGCTTCTTACAAAATCATCTTTACTTTTCTTCACCTGGACAACAGTTCACTACAACACAGCTGTTTTTTGTCGGACTTTGCTCCTTACTAGTGGTAAACTGTTGTTTTAGTTTGAGGCAGATTTCATTAAAATATTTTGGTTAGCAAAACTATTGTATGAGCAATTCAGTGTTGCTACTCTTTATGGTACCTTTGTTTTTTTTTATAAAAAGGGGCTTTAGATTCATGTATGATGTAGTGTTACACTAAGCAACTTAGAATTGTTATACAGTACTTGAATGTATTACAAGCTGAACAGGTCTGATGTCCTGGCTCAGTGCTAAGAGTAGGAGGAGTCACATATTTGACATTAGTACATAATTAACAGACTGCATACACTTTCAGAAACTATAAAGCAGAGAAAGTCATAAGGTGCTCAAGAAGAGAATGATTTAAAAGGAGAAAAAGCTTCAGAGCCTCAGGAACTTGGAAAAACTGGAATATACTGGCTTTTATTATCAAAGTTTGCATAAAGATCCAATATAATTTCTGGACATGAAACAAACATATCAAGTTTTTGATGTAAAGCTTTCAGTGGTGGAAATGGAAACACACTGGCAGAAAAGGAAAGTACAGCATGAGAAGAACCACAGGAAGAAAAGAATTGTAATTTTCAGAGAAAATAACGATGAGGTCTTCCGAAGGATGTGTGAGTCTTATGCTGGGAATAAAATCCGTACCAACAAGTACACAATTTGGTCATTTATTCCCAAGAATCTTTTTGAACAGCTTCACAGATGTGCCAACATCTATTTCATATTTCTTTCAGCTTTGAATTTTGTGCCAATTGTAAATGCTTTTCAGCCTGAAATTGGAATGATTCCTATAGTGATCATTCTTATGGTTACTGCTGTGAAAGATCTTTGGGAAGATTACAGGAAATGCAAGTCTGATAAAATAATCAATAGCCTTATTTGTAAGGTGTACAGTAGGTAAGCGACTGCTCAAACAATTTAACATTTTGCTTTGTTTATACCACTAAGTTTTGTTATCTCTAGAATTTTTCAGAAAATAACAGGATATTTTTCCTTTGTGTTAAAATATAGTCATAACTCAGATATGTACTGTGTGTGATAGCTGTTACCTAGAACAAAATTACTCCTTAAATGGTAATGTGTCTGCTATCTGCAAACTTAATTTATTTCCTGTTTAAATGCATTATGAACAATTTCAAAAAAATGTTTTGCTGAGTCAACTTTGTAGACTGGAAGTGACATAAAATATCATATCGTTACTAAAACCATTGTTGCATAGTTGTTCAGCAACCACAGTAAGAATCAGCATTAAACAAAGAAATAGGATAACAAATACAGAGAACCTACACTGTGAGTAAAAGTAAGATAAGGGAAAGATTTAAGTTTTGTTGTTTCTGTTCCCTTGTGGCAAAATGTTTTAAATCCAAATTTATTAGGAATCTCTTTTCTTTTCAGCATGGAAATAACCTTTACCTGTTCCTTTGCAGTTTATGCATGCTGACTCTACCTACTTTGGTTTCAATTAGATGCGTGACACTTTCTCAGAAAGTAATACTGTGACATTGTAATTTGTACTGGAGACTGCAATTCAAAGGCATACATTTGCATGTTGTAGTGTTAGGTGATGTTGCCTCTTACTTGTGGTCTGTAAACCAGCAAAAAAGGAGGCCATTGAAATATGACAAAAGAATCAGCTAAGTCCACAAATACCATATCCACTTCTGTCTTTTTACTGCTTTATCAGACAATTTGAGGATAGCAATTGCATTATTATCCTCTCCTGGTGTACTGTTGTGTTGGAACCTTCTTCCTGGAAGGTTATGTGCTTATCTTCATATTTTAAATTCTTATCTGTCACCATTTTGTTGTGTCCCTTTAACTATGCTACTAAGCAGCATTCTGCTATTCACTGCTTTGCTTGTGATTACATTACTACTGTATATTAGGGCAACTTTAACCCATCTCAAGCTAGTCGCACCATTGAGTCAAATAAAGGTTTAGTTTAGCGTGTTTAATACAGTATCATCACTTCTCCTTTTTATGCCTGATTAAATACAGATCTATAATTGGGGTTCAGCAGAGAACAGACTGTACAGTAACTATACACTAATCCATATAGTTGTGTTTAATACCCCTGCCATAACAATACAATGAGTGAATTAGTTAATAATAGTAAGATTTTGACATCATTATCATAATAATGATTAAGCATATGGCAATAACTAAATATAGTATAGTGCTTTTCGGTTGTTAAGCTTATACAAACTCTACAAGTTTAATAAAAACCTTGAAATTCCGTCAGTGAAAGACTGAATGAGAAAGACAAGGTTATGTTTTTACAAAATGTACACCAGCACTATGTGGGGCAGTACAAATAAAAATGATCACAGCTTGACATCAATTCTGTAACATATTCATAGAAAAATATAATTTGAGAACTGTTCCATAAAACAACAACAAACAAGAGCATCCTACTGTCAGAGGTGGGAGTGGTACATTACGTCTTGGTTCTGGCAAACAGAAGCTGCATTTCATGAGTTTTAATCAGCTGTTGACCAGATGTAAGGTTACCTATCCTTCACAAACAAGGGGATCAATATTTTCTCTGAGATATGGTTGGTGGAATCAAACAAAATGGAAAAAAAGAATGCTGGGTTAGATTATGTAACTTTTTTACCCATAGATTTAGTTCTGTTTCTGCTCATACCAGTTTGTTAAGTGCTGAATGTGGAATCAAGAGATATGCAGTAAATGTAAAACTTTGAAGCATGAAAACTAGCAAACAATTAAACAAAACAAAAATTCCAGGTACAGCATATAAGTGTAGTTCTACAGTATATACGACTAATCTTGATCTTTGACTAATCAAATCTTTTACCTTTAAAATGTATCTGACTTACAATGGGTAACATGGGTCTAAATATGAAAACCTTAACCACATTCTTTAGGTGTGGTTTTATTGTCTTTTGGCTCAAATTCTCAAGTCCTGTTGTTCTTCTACAGTTTATTACCCATTGATTGTACTCACTGTTGATTCTTGTCCAGCATGTTTGCACACTGTCAGTTCTTCCTCCTACTCTTGAGTGAGGACTTTTTTGTGACTACAGTATTAGGAGGCAATGTATATCATCGTTACTAGGGAAGTATATACACTCTTGATAAACAAGCACTTTACTAACAAGTACTTGCTAAAACAATCTATCCATACACATAAATATTTTTTATTATATAAGTTTACTCCATCTGCTAAAAAGACCTCCAGGCTGTAGTTCATTGCTCTATTCTTTATTTTTCGCTCCTCTCATCTGTTGCCTAAACTGTCTTTACAGGAAATGTAAGATAATTATACTTATGATGTAGAATAATATTGATTCACAAGTTTTAAATCATGTAAATTTTATTTCTCCATATACAATAATTGCTTCATAATGCATGTAAACATAATGTCTTGCATTAAATAGATGTGTTGGTTGATATAACATATACTTGGCAATTTATCATGCCAAGCTATTCAAATACATCAGATATATACCTAACCTCAACAGGTTTATGTCCAGTTACAAGCACCTGGAACAAAACAGAGACTTGTACATGTATTTTAATAGGAATTTAAATGTTCATTTAATGAATTTTCTTCTACAAACATACATTTTGGAAATAATTGGGCTCGTATGGCGGGAAAAATTTGCTATAAAACATATTGTTGAATATAATTAATGGGACAGGTTTGAAAACTGCACAGTATTTCACTGGATGTAGCTGAAATTAGCTAACCAGTGGCACTTAATAATAAATGCTGTTTAAATTAAGTGCTGGTGATCCCTAATGTTGTCATGAATTTGAATGGATTTGTCACAGGGGCTTAACCAGCAAGATGTTTGTCCTGATCGCAAGTTAAACTTTATGCTCCAAGTTTTCAAATTTTGAGCCTGGATAGCAAGCCCATGGTATCTGAGTTTCTCCAAAGAGGTGGACAATTGCCTCAGTGCCACCTGAGGTTAGGGTTGAACTTAGTTGGCCAGGGAGTTTGTGGCCAAGTTAATAGTAACTCTTGTGACTTCCAAGTAGCTTTCAAGCTTTTGGCCATGTCAGTCAGGTACACACCACTCTTCCAGAATTAATGAATGGTGTCTGTATTTTTCTAGTTCCTTTTGTGCTGTGATCTGAAGTGTAGATACACAAATCAATCCCTGCTTGGTGAAATTATATAAAATATAATGATTCTAAAATAAAAGTTGATTTATAGTACAGGTTTAAACCCTGTGGTCTAGACATGACTATTTTCAGTCTAGGGTACCTGGTTGCTTATTGGCTAAGCTTGAGATGCAAGGAGTTCCTCTGCTTAGTGCACATTAGAGATACTTGTGATTTTGTGGAGGGCACTTTACTGTTTGCTGGTTTAGGCACTGGTAACTGAAACATGAAAAATAGTGGGCATCTCTGACATAAGTACATATTTGGATTAAAGTCCTCATGGTCCTGAATGCTGTCCTGCTGGTGCGAAAGCTACAGCAGTAAAACTGATCAACGCAGGCATTTTCTTACTTGAGGGGGAGGTGAACAAACATTAATTGCTTATTCAGATTTTTATCAAATATTTTAATAAAAATAACCTTCCTAGCTTTTGTGAATGCATCATGACAATACGGAACATGTTTATTTCATTTTTATGTATATGTACAGTAGGTGGCATTAAGAGTTGCTCTAGGCCTCTCACTTATTAAATTTTTACTCACATTATCATTCCTGCTTGTATGTTTTCCAGAGCTCTTGTTATAATCTTGCGCTGTGATAAAAATAATCACAACTGGTGGTAAAGATGATGAGAAACTCAGACTTGTTGGGCACATTTGTAAGATTTTCAGTTACTATGTTCACCTATTTTATTTAATTCAGGTGTTACTGTATGATGTGAAACATTAAGTTTGGACTGTTATCCTGTAGACATATATGGGATTAAAATGCATTTTAAAATAGGCTAAAATCCGTGTTTCCTAATTAGTAATCTAATTTAATCATTGTTAGGTTTCAATATTTTTTATGTAAAAATGTGGAATTTAACATTTAAATTCAAGTTACCAAAGGTACAGTATTTCTTTGCATTTACATTCTGAAAATAATGAGGAACAACTTCTATAATTGTTGGGATCATTTCCAAATTCTTGTTACTCTTTTTAGTTATTAGAGTTAGTCAAATCTTCAAACTTTTCTCATTTCAGAAAACATAAAAAATACATTGATCAGTGTTGGAAGGATGTTCGTGTTGGAGACTTTGTTCGCCTTTCCTGTAATGAAATAATTCCTGCAGACATGGTGCTTCTGTACTCTTCTGACCCTGATGGCATCTGTCACATAGAGACTGCAAATTTGGATGGAGAGACAAACCTAAAACAAAGGCAGGTTGTCAAGGGGTTTTTGGAACAGGTAAATGTGGAACCACTTTTAATAACACATCATGAAGTGGATGAACTTTAAGTTTTGAAACATTACACAAAAAAAAGCAAATTTGTATAATTAGGGTGAAAATAATAGGGTATTTAGATCTAAACCCTACTAGGACCTTCATTTCTGTTGCAATAGTACAGTGGTTCTCAAACTTTTTGGACCAAGTACCACCCCTAATCCAAACAAAGCATCCAAGTACCACCTACAAGTCATCATCTCATAGGAACCCCAGAAATTCTCAATGACCAACATGAGTGTGCATGCACACACTCACACATACATATAATAAATATTATAATAATAAACTTTATTTGATATAGCGCCTTTAAATCTGGCTTCTCAAAGCGCTTTACAGAAAAAAACAGTAACGACAACAAATAAAAATAAAAAAGCAGAGAGGGGTGAGCCTGTTTAGTCGAGCAAAGCAGATGTGAATTTTTCGAGCCTTGATACAATTCACAACAGAGTCTTATAGATTTTAAATCGTCTGGCATTTTCTTGATGGCAAAGGTCTCGCGGTGAATGTTGCAATGCGTCCATTAATTTCTGGAGCAACCTCTCTAATTCGTGCAACTACACCACTATGTCGGCTTGTCATCGCTCTAGCACCGTCTGTACAAACTCCGACGCATTTTATCCAGTCGATTCCATTCTCTTCGATAAATCCATTCAGAAGCTGAAATATATGCTCTCCTGTTATTCCTGTTGGTAGCGGCTTACATAACAGAAAGTCCTCATGGGACTTACCCTCAAACTCATATCTAACATAAACGAGTGAATTGGCCAAATTGACTACAGACTCAGCTAAATGCAGTGAAAAACATCTGCTCATCTTAACGCGCTCTATCACCGTACTTTTGATATCATTTCAATAATTCTATAAATGACTGTGTCTTTCGGGGGGGCAGCAGGTCGAGCTGTTTAGCAGCTTTTTCTCCACACATAACACGTGTCAGCTCTTTTGCCAACGGTAAATAAGATTCTTCAAAAATAGTGTGGGGCTTACCTGCTTTAGCATTTCAGAAGCTTGCATTTTTCCCCGTTTCCGTTTTTATTTCTGTATTTATTTTAAGTTTTTATTTCATGCGCATGGGAGTGAAACACAGAGACACTCTGTGTATTTTTCTCAATTTAACTTAGAACAGTTCTTAAATATTTTTCTGTTATCTATCACGCTTTCCTGTGCTCGCAAGATTACGAGCGTTAGTAGCTCGTATTTCTATGCATTCCTGTGTTTACAACATTGGCATTGTTCCAAAATCACGCACATTCTCCTACCTCCCTATTTGCTGGAGACAGTTTTTTTTTAATACAATTGGTCACTTGCGTTCGTAGCATGCATTCCTATAGAGAGGTATAGAATTACAGAGTATCTCGTGTCCACTGAAGTATTAGCGTGCACTGTTGCAGTACGTAGGCTGCGTTTTCGACACGTGTTGAAATAGAAAATATGAAAACCGTCCCAGTTTTTCAGCACACAACACAGTTTTATGGGTCATATGGCGTACCAGCTGGCGGCGCTCTACGTACCAATGCTGGTACGCATACCACAGTTTGAGAACCACTGCAATAGTACATCAAAAAGGGAACCTCTGTATCTCATAGGTTCACTGAGATCCTGACTGGCAAAAATATTTTAATTAAATGATTGAGCATGTTTCGGAGCTTTTAGTGAACAGTGCTATTGTACTTTTACATGCATAACATAGTGTGATGACACTCTTTTCTGTTAAAGGGCTGTGAATTTAATCCAGAAACATTTAACAGTCGTATTGAGTGTGAAGGTCCCAACAATGACCTAAATCGCTTTAGAGGGTTCATGTAAGTAATAAGTTTGCTTTATTTCTGAAAACGTTGTTTTTTGAAGTATGTTTTGCTCCTATTTTGTCAAGTATTTAAAAGAATGCAGAATGCATATTGAAACATTTTATCTGTCAATCAGAAGACACAGAATATTTTGCAATAAAGGTATTTGTATCAATTAATTTCCATAATTTTAGTTGATTGCCTGTATGTTGTCAGTACTTCAGAATAGGGTTGGGCGATATATCAAAAAATTGTCGATACCCACGTTAAGAATCTCTCACCAACTTAATTTTGCTTATGCCCGTATGTTCGGTAAAAGCTTTCCCTACTGTGGGCTTTCATGAGCAGTCCTCTTAAAAAAACTACAACACCCAGTCGTTATATCTGGTCACATGCCTCATCCAATCTCCGTTCTTCATTCAAAACACAATCGTGCTGGGCATGAGACAACACGAGCGCTTATGCTGAACCCCAGTTAGGCGGGGATGACTCAAATACAAATTAAGATGACTTGGTATCTAAAAAAGATGCAGTGTCGATTGTTTGGTCATTTTTTGGCTTCAGCAAACAGGATACTGAACAAAGAGAAGTCAGATGTAAACTGTCGGAAAACCAAATGTAACACGAGCAACTTGTTTTATTGCCTGAAACACAACCATGTCGTGGAATGCAAAAAGTGCATGGCCACAAAAAAAAGAGAGAGACTGACAAGCGCACTCATGGCTGAAGTGATTCCTCCAAACAGCTGTCTCTAACACAAGCATTTACTAATGCCACTCAAGATGCAAAAGATTTGCGCAGATGGAACGAGATAACGAATGCCATTACATACTGCACAGCGAAGGACATAGTCCCCATAGCTACAGTGGAACAGTGGTTTCAAAAGATTTGTTCAAACCCATGACAAGAGATACATTGTGTCCTCGAGAAAATATTTTTCTCAAACTGCGCTGCCCAATTTATAAGATGTAAGACACTTAGATTTAGTTTGTATTTGAAAAATATTCAAAGTTCTATATTTTTCATGAATGTACATATTGTGCAATATGTTAAAATGTCCATTAAAAGTTATTCTGTTTGTGTTCCCATGAATTATGTCTTTAAATTATTGTCCTTAAGTCATTGAGATAAGATGAGGTGTGTGCAACTTTAATAGTTTCACATATTTAAAACATGATCCTTCATGTAATCATATAATTTCAAGGGTTTAAAAAAATATTGTTAATTTATAATTATTGTGATATTGATTTGAGGTCATATCGCTCAGCCCTACTTCAGAATTTCCCTTTTGTTTTTTCCTAACACTTCTAACAATATTAAGAATGCATTCTAAATTCAGAGATTTGTTCATTTTCCATATTTGTCAATATTTCATTCGCCATGATTAACTTTATTAGTGCAGTTTTAACTTAGTTGTCTGTAAAGTTGTACAAGGCAGCAGGAGTCAGGGAAGTGTATAAAAGCTTGATGAACACCAAATGTTCTAAAGATTAGAACTTTCATTAGTCTATGTTTTTATACTACTTTCATTAAATATTTGTTAAGGGTAAGTTTACATTGAAGTTAATAAATATTTAATGAAACCACTAGCAATTCTTATGCACTGTACCTAAAATAATAAGCAGAACATCTTTATTTGCAGTTAATTAAAAGTAAGTCAAGTAGTTTTTTTTTTTAATTTATTATATTGAGATGAAATATCATTTGTCCAATATTTGGCTTGTTTTTAATGTTTTTAGGGAGCATCCCAATCAGACACGAGTGGGTTTACATAAGGAAAATCTTTTGCTTAGGAGTTGCACAATTCGAAATACAGAAACTGTAGTTGGCATTGTTGTTTATGCTGGTAAGTATAATTCCATTTATGTAATACTGTGCTGCCATACACACATAGGTGCAAGCAAGTGGACTGTGGCAACACTGGCATACTCACCAATCTGCCAGCCCTGGCATTTTTTTGCATTTATGCATCCATTCATTCAAATGGACAGAACTTCTAGCTTCCCTCTCAGGAAAGTCTGTCCTGCTGCGTGTCATTGTTCTCTCTGTGTTTCACTAATATAATCATACATTGGAGTGTTCTACCCAACTCCTCGGTGTCACCCAGTCACTCTCTTTACTAACTACTGAATTTCTTGTTTTTTTTTATTTCAGTTCTTCATAATTTTCCCTAACAACTGATCTTCACCCTTCACTGTTCTCACTTCTAGCTTTACTAGCTGATCCTGTTTGGATGCGATGCGGCCTAACCAACCACACTAGCACTCCTAACACCAGCTTGTTGTTATCTCTTTCTTGAAGACTGCATACCTGTCTGCTATTGATTACAGCTAGAGTACTCGGCACTCCCGCTGGGCTACTAGACTTCTCTCTCTTTCTCCTGTGGGGTTGCCCTACTTGTCCAGGTGCAATCGCCTCCCATCAGCCCTGGTACAGCAGGATAACCCTGTTCTCCAACAGTGCACTTCAACCTTGTTGGGCCTTTCAAACAAAATTTACACCCTAGGAATGTAAGAGCTTTTGAGCCTGTCCGGCAAGCGCCTACTTTCCCTTACCATCAGGCTTCCCTCACCTTCAATAGGTTGTTGGGACCCCTTTCTACATATCACTCAGTCTCCCTGTCCAGCAACCGTGGTGTCCCTCAGTATAGCCTAAACTGTATTTTTCAAAGCCCTCTCATTTGCTGAGTCTCCCGGACCTATAAGCCAGCTCAACCTATTGCTATTGAGAACTCCCTCTGGAGCTCTCACATTCCTCGCTGTTCTCAAGCACATTCCAGTTAATCTAAGGGAGTGGCCAGTTCCACATAGATCCTATTCTATATGCTCATCTCACTCATATACAATTTCATGCCCTCTGGATGTCAGTTATTCAATTAGCCAAGTTGTGTTGTGTGGTTCATTTTAACCTGTCTATTCTCATTATTGGGTGGCTTTCTTCCGAAGCCACCTCTCACTTCTTCACGATATTGCTGAAAATGCATATAACATAAAATCTTAAAGTTTAATGCATGTAAACATAAAGTGAAACACACAATCTCAGTCTTTTACTGCAATCAGTTATCTACATACAATTATGTAACATTTTAAATGAAAAGCACACAATTCTCTTTACTGATAAGAGAAAATAGTAATTGTATCATGAAATTAAAGAATATAGTATTAAGTTAATTTTTTTCTTAAAAAGAAACAGTATGCTTTTTAAAAATATTCTTCATAGAAAGTTTCACAAAGCAATCCTAATCAAGTAAGTTCAGTTAACTGCTAAATGTTTTAATTAGTTTGGAGTTGTGAAAACTCACAATAATAATTAAAAAGTTTCTAAGGGATCTAGTTGCTGTGTTTACATACTTTGTGATATGTAGAGTCCAGCTAGGGACTGATTGTAAGTTTCTCAGCGTAAATGCATGAAAAAATTAAAATCTACCCCACATTTCAATAATCAAGAATTACATTTTATTAAAACAAAGAAGATGCCAAAAATGTGATGTGTCAATTGCAAGACATTCATCAAAGTAGTCATATTAATTTGGAAAACGTGAGTTTTAGGAATTGTAGCTGATATTCACAGGAGGTGTTCATTTTTATTTTTAAGGGCATGAGACCAAAGCAATGAAGAATAACAGCGGCCCTCGGTATAAACGGAGCAGACTGGAGAGAAGACTGAATGTTGATGTCCTTTGGAGCGTTGTTCTGCTTTTCCTTATGTGCCTCACTGGAGCTATAGGTATGCTAAAACACCTAGTGATCATTAAGATAAGGGTATGCTGAATTTAGCCTTAATTGCTGTAATTTTGTGTCAGTTTTGGGGAAAATATGGCTCCATATGGATATAGTTTGGGAAAATGTGAGGTAGGTCTGTCAGTAAAATCAAAAGTGTAATCATTAATTAAATTAATTTGTAAGCATTTGATTTAAGAGTTACTTTTTCAGCATTTGTTCAAGAAAGTAAAAAAAATGAATAACTTTTGAGTTTGAAGTGACAGGTTAGAAAATAATGCCTCATTTTAGAGCATGAGATGCACTTTTTTCTTTGCTGTATCAGGAACTTACTGTATATTTGGACATCTTGTTTTTCATTTAGATAATTGTTGACTTTTGAGTTGGCCTGAAGTCAAATTCATTTTGAACAATACAGTAAGATAAATACAAGATATAATGACTTCAGGATTTTTGTTAATAAATGCCTAAGAAAGCAATAGCTTCCAGTTGTTTATATCCTGTAAGTCAGTTGTTTGGTTGCTAGTATCTCATTGATCCAAACTTCTTATCTATGTGTTTTCTGAAAGAATCCAAGCAACATAACCTCATAGCTTGTTCCAGACTCCAATAAATATTTTTATAAATGATTGCCTCCAGTTTATTTTCAATGACACTGATGTAATATCTGTGATGTTAAACAGATAACAGTACCAATATGCATTCTGCAATACTTATGCCATATTTATGCGATGTTAAATCAATATGCTGTAGCTCACACTTTTCAAGTATTTTTCTAGAGGGTATTTTTAGGGTCCTTGTGGTGAGGATACTGTATGTACCCTAACATTTTTTAACAATTTATTTTAGTTTCAGCTGTCCAATGCAAAATACCACTCCATCTGTCCGTCCATCCATTCATCTATCCATCTTTTAGCTGCTTTATCCAATTCAGGGTCTTGAGAGAGTTGGACTCTATTCTAGCAAACAATAGGTACAAGCCAGGATATGCCCTGGACAGGTTGTCCAGTCTATCACATGGGCAGATGCACAGACACGCACACACTCGCACCTAGGGACAACTTAAGTTGAGTACCACCACTGTACAACTGAAATACAAAGGTTTTGTAACAATATAATTAATTGATTGTACATGCAGAACAACAATTGCTAGAAGACATTCGATTGTCTACTTTTTTCCTTATGCAGTCTCCAGAGTGGAACAGAATGCAAAGTTACGGGGTGTGTCCTGAACTTTCATACCTTTATCTGTAGAGAAAGATATTCAGATTTTACACCAGGTCGAGTGGGATTTAATTATCCTGGGCATATTGTGTAACAGATAAACATGATTCTTTATTATCACATATTCACAACATGGAAAAAAAATCAGTTTGAGGTAGAGGTTACTAGGATGTTTTAAGAATGGTTAGCCCTTTGGCTAAATTGGAACGTGCTCTCAGAATACAGCTGATAAAATCTCTGAGCCTCCTCAAATTTGGAAAGCAAGGTGGATTGCAAATCGCATTCTTTTGACAGTATTGCAAAAGGGGTACTTTGTTTTAGAAAACAGATGTAGAGATTATGTAAATCAAGTTATTTTTTCTGTTTTAATTACTGCTTTTATTGTCATTAAGGTCATGGGATCTGGCTTAGTAGATTCAAGGATCCCCCATTTATTATTCCTGATGACACAACCCCTGTCCTGGCTGGATTCTACATGTTTTGGACAATGATAATTGTTCTACAGGTAAAATTTCAGGTTAAGGTTAAGCATAAGAAAAGCTGTGCTCTATTTCAGCTGAATTTCACTGTTGATATCACTTGTCAGCATTACACTATTTCGCCTGTACAATGTTACAAAGTATTTGCTTCTAAATTAGTGCAGCTAACAATATTCATTTTGTTGTACTAGTGAAACTAACATATTTCTGCATGTAAAAATATGACAGGCTTTTGGCAAAATCATTATGGCATTTACATGTAATGTTGAAAAGGCTAACATTATTAGGAAACTAAGTCAAATTTGCCTGTCAAATGAATGAATGGATATTCATGAATGTGATATTATTTTGAGACTTCTGTCAGGGAGACTTTATGTTTTTATATGGAAGTAAATATAAACTAGGTACTGTGAAACAGAGACTTATTTTCATACTTCTGAGTTCATTCAGGTGTGGCCATTATTGTTTATTTCTGTCAATTGCTTCTTTGTTTCTCATTGTCTTATACTACAGGTGCTGATTCCAATTTCCCTCTATGTGTCCATCGAAATTGTCAAGCTTGGGCAGATCTATTTCATTCAGAATGATATTGACTTCTATAATGAAAAGCAAGACTCAACCATTCAGTGCCGAGCTCTAAATATAACCGAGGACCTTGGTCAGATTCAGTATGTCTTCTCTGACAAAACAGGAACTCTTACTGAGAATAAAATGGTGTTTCGTCGCTGCAGCATAGCAGGTGTGGAGTATCCCCATGATGAAAATGGTAGGTTCATTGTCCTCATAGATTAGCAAAAGTCTATTATTGAATTTACATATTTAACCTATAAACATATTTAAGAAAACACTGAGCTTTTAAGTTACCATACCCTAATTGTCATGTTTTTTTTCACAGTCATGATCTCTAAGAACTTCACAATAAATCCTTAGGTGAATCAATAGTGTGCATTAATCAGGTATCATAATCTGGATTTAAACTTTGACCATAACTGTACAGTTGCTAACTCCCCTTATACTGGATCTTCAGTGTCAGAAGTGTGGACAGGGAATTGATTTAATGTCTCATTTGAAAAGGGCACCTTATGCACTTCAGTGAAACTAGAAGCCACCCACAACGCTTCCAGCAATAACCTTCTTTTGAGACTTTTTATCCATGTACTGACTAGCTCATATTTAGTTTCTAAGATTACTTGGTGTCTTATAGAAGTGAATTGCTGCCACCAAGAAAAAAAATCCAGTTATCTCGTAATTATGAATTAACAGATTATCTCTGAATTACGAGTTGGCAATGATCATGTGTCTGTATGAGCAACCTTTTACAATGTTGCAATGACAATACCTACAAGCTATCAATAGGTTAGCTGGCACTGTGGGTTTAGTGTTCCTGACAATGTACATGCCGTGAAATGTGCTTTCTCCTCAGGTTTATTCAGAATGAAATGTTACAGTTTGTACCTCATGTAAACAGTTTTAGAGAAGAAGGACCATCTCCAATTCCTGATGTTTCAGCATTTGTTATCCTAACATCCTCTTCTTTAACCTATTCATTACCACTAAAGCAGCAATCCCTTGACCATGGTAAATTAGTGGGGTGTCTGTTATAACTGTATTGCAAACCTTTCAACTTATTTATTGAATATACTGTATTTAATGATTTTTGATTTTTTTAAATAAAACATACAACATAAAGCCTCCATGTTTATATACTACTTTTTATTTGTTTGTTTGAATGGGGTGGTGACACAAGCCAGTGAAACTGAATTGTAAATGTTTACTGCCAGTCCTGGAATATACAGTAGCTGTGTTACTAGAGGTACAACCACTTATATTCCAAAAGGTGTAGTGATCAGTGATCATTAAACTCAAGCCTTAAGGACTTCATTTTAAACACTGCCTGCAGTAAAATGTTCCTTACCAACATAGTTTATAAGGTAACCATTATTTTGGAATTTCCATGGTACCATCTGCTGGCCCACCACCTTACTGTAGGAAACAATTTTACTTTTATATGTTCTGTTCAAGTACTCATTATTTTCATACCCTTATCTTTAAAGTTATAATAAAAACAGGTTTAAAAAAGCTGGCAATAAGTAATAATAATTGTGCTAAAACACATTTCCAAGCAATTTTTAATGTGCTCCAGATTTTAACTTATATGTTTTGTCTATGCAGATCACCTTATCTAATTGGTTTTTAAAAATATTTTTAAATAAGATTTATTTTTGTCACAGGCCTCTAAAGTCTATTAAATGAAAATAAGAAAAGTCTTACATCTGATAAATTTAACATCTTATCTTCTTTAACATCTTTAACATAAAATTTAACATCATATAACATGATAAATTCTATCTAAAATTCTATATTTTAAAATGCTATAGTTCTGTGTTTTTTGTAGATCAAATTTGTACAAATACTATAAAAATGTTAAAATGCCCAAGAGAATTGGGAAATTATGAGAGAATGACAGTGACAAATTGCCAAACTGTGTTAAAGATGAAGTCGATGTGTGGATGAAGTCCTTTACTTAATTTATTAAAATATATTTAAGAAATGCCTTATTTCACAAATTCCACGATTTTCTCTGCTGGAGTGCTCTTTTGAAACATTTTAAATTGAAATTGCTTTTACATAAGACAGTGGCATTCAAAAACATTTGTTTTCTCTCTACAGCAAAAAGACTGGAGTTATATCAGGACCAGGATTTGGATGATGAGGCATACCAGAGTGTGAGGGCAAAATCCAAATCCAAATCCAGCCTGAAGTCCCGTAGCTGCAAGTCATTAAACTGCAACCGGAGCACCACCTCTCTCCACACTCTTGCCTCCAGCAGCTTTGACCTCGCAGAGGAGGAGGGGGACACATACAGCCCTCGCCATACTGCTTTCAGCAGCCGGATGGTAAGCCAGCTTTCATCTCGCTTAAATCCCTGTAGGGGGTGCAGATGTCATTTTAGTAGATGTCAAGTGCCTTGCTTGTTCACGATGATGCACTAATATTACACCTGGTTTCTACCATAGGACGAGAATTGGCTTTTGTCACCTAATTATTCACACAAAATCAGCTTATGTTATGTTTTAATGTAAATCCTTATGGTGCTCAAAAGCTGTCTTTGTGTAAAACCAGTTACAGAGGCTGATTTTTCACACAATACATATAATCTTGAGAAGTGTATACTAAAGAGCTATCTTAAACTGTAAAATGTATAAATCCCTTACCCACCATAAAACGTGGACTTCCAACCACTTTGTTCTAAACAGTGTCACTGGGGGGGCTCCTCTTACCACAGAAAGCAGTGGGCACTAGGCAGTATACATCCTAGATAGGACACAAGTCCATTGCAGGGCAGACACTCACAACAGGGCCAGTTTTCCCAGAAGCCAATTAACCTGCCATTACGCCTTTAAACTGTTGAGAAAACCTATGCAAAAACAGGGAGAACATAGAAAGTCCACACAGATAGCATCCCAGAAATTGAACCCAGCGCCCCAGTGATGTGAGGTAGTAATGCTAACCACTGTGCCACCCACATTGCAGTCACTGAAGCTTGTTTTATTGTTTCCTACAAGGAAAGAGATGTGGTGCCTGATGCTCAGCTACTTAAGAAGTTCAACCAGATTGTCTCTCCCTCTGTAATGTTGGAGGATGCATCTGGAGATGGATCGCTGGAAATGACTTACATTGTAGACTTCTTTCTCGCCCTTGCAATTTGTAATACTGTTGTTGTATCATCACCAAACCAGCCAAGACATGTGGTAGGTACCCACATTAATTTTTGGGTTGAAGCTGAAGACTTAATTGAGTGCAGCAAGTATTCATCAGTGTTCTCCTCTTTTGTTGACAGCATACAATTACAAACACCTTGTGTTATGTTATGCATTAAAACACATGCTTTAAATGAGTATAGTTTATAAACCTGTACATTTTAAGTGTTGGTTAAATAATATTTTTAGATTTCAGGTTAATTAACTGAGTTCAATGTCTTTTAATCAACAGATTGATATACGATTGTTAGGAATAGGGAGCTACGAATCAGGAATTGACCAAGCGGTTTAGTCAAATTAATGAAGTAAAATTGTATTCATTCTTATAACTTAATTATTATAAATTAATGCTGTCTAGATTTTTTAAATTGCCTTTCTGGAAAATATACAATTTGATATAAATATATTTTTAATTGGATTTTTGTGATGGGTGGAAGCTGAGTTTCAGCTTGGTTAGCATTCCCCATATTGATTGCCTTACTCTAAAGGTTGGGAAAAAAAGTTGGTATTATTTTGCTTTATTTACATAGCTGCCATTGAGCCATGAGTCAAGTGAACATGGAGGAAGACAGATGATCAAAAGAAGTCCTAATAATTTACTCATGTTAAACAAAATCACTGTTAAATGATTATATCAGCCATATTAAAACATAAATATTAAACAGTAACCACATCATGCTTATTGAGGTCAATAAGATAGCCTCCATAAGAATGAATCTAGCCTAAATACTGAAAAAGAAATAAGGAAGAAAGGCAAAGGAAGAAGAGAGGAAGCAAGGTACATGTGTGGAAGTATCTTATGTAGTTATAATGCATATGTAATGGTGACTTCTAATCACCCATTCATGTTAATAACGGAGATGACCAAAGATGTACTCAGACTGAAAAACTCTATGGGTCATACAGATTATGTGGGTCTTCTTTGGTGTTCTTCAAAAATAGCCTTTTTCATCACAAATTAAAACTTGTTTCAATCATTTGCTGAGTTGCACTATGCCTTCTTGCATCTCTAAAATGATCTCCTTTAGATCAAATTTATCTTTTGTACTATTAAAATGTGTGAAGGCCTTATTGACTGTAATTTAAATACAGGAAAACAATATCCATTACTCAAAACCTTCAAAATAAGGCAATCAAAATCTTCTTCTTCGCATTTTCCCACTTATATGGGGTCTGCTTGTTTACACCGATTTTTCCACTTCGTACGGTCTGCAGCGTCTCGACAGGTAACTTTTGTCGGCGCATGTCGTCTTTCAGCCGATCCAGCCAGCGCGTAAATGGTCGTCCACGGGGCCGGCGGCCTTCCACATTCAATTTGAGGGCGGTCTTTGCCATTGATGTGTCATTGCTGCGGAGCATGTGTCCATACCATCGCAGGCACGATTCCCTAATTTTCTCAGTGATTGGGGCGACTTTGAGTGTTTTTTGCACCTCTTCATGGTCTAGTCTTGTCAAGCCAAGGGTCCATTGCAGCATCTTCTTTTCCATCTTATGGAGTGCCTGTTCATGTTTCTTTGTCGTTGGCCAGCATTCAGTTCCGTATAGGGCCACTGGTCTGACCACTAAGCGGTAGACTTTGGATTTTAGGTGCAAAGGGATCTTCTTGTCTCACAGTACTCAGTACAGTGACCTGCCACCATTTCATCCAAGCGGCGCTGACTCGCATCTTGGCGTCTTGAAGGGTATTGCAGTCGGAGTTGACACATGAGCCTAGGTACTTCAACTGTGTCACTTTGTTCAGTTAGACCCCACTAGCTGCGATTGTGCCATCAGTTTGATCATCGCATTCCAGGTACTCCGTCTTCTTTATGTTCAATTTCATACCGAATCGTTCAAGGCGTGTCTTCCACTCCTGTACTTGCTGTTCGAGGCCGTGTCACGTTTCACTTGCTATCATAACATCGTGGCAATCAAAATGGGAACCCCAAACAAACTAATCCTAGATGAAACTTATCTGCCCTTACTTACTGCAGCAATACATTCTTCACAGATATATTATTATTATCATGTAACTGAAGTGCTTATAGCCTGACCTTTGTCCATGGATACGGATACTTAAAAAAGTGTCTGAAAAACAGTTCAGAGAAAAAAGGTACATGAATAGTGGGATCAACAGTGTCACGACCAGCTGATGGTCAAGCCAAATTAAGACAGTACAGAGAAGGAATATTATGATGGATTAGTGTCCTGTCCAGTGATAGTATTGTCATGTATTGTGTCTGGCTTTGTACCCTATAGTTCAAAAACAGGCATCAGCTTGCTGAGAACTTTACAGTGATAGGCATATTACTGAAAATGGATGGACGGAGTTAGAAGCAACAAGTACAGAATTAGTGGCAGGTAGCACAGCAGTTTCTCTAGAATGTGCAGGATGGAATCCAGACCAAAATTAGGTAAGAAAAAGTCAGTTTTGTATGCAGTGTGTATATTTATTATAGTAGTTCAGATGGGTAGCTGCATCAGCATGTGTCAGTATCCCCTGAAGAAGGCTCCATGGGCCGAAACGTTGTTTTTTTGTTTCTTTTCTTTTCAGCATGGAATAAACCTATTACTTGTTCCTTATTTATAATAGTTATAAATGGAAAACAATTAGCAATAAGTAAGTTTTACCTATTGCAGTCCAATTATTTTGCACCTGAAAGCCTTGTCAGGTCAGTTCTAAATAAATCTGGGGAAATATTGTCTGACCATATGCTTTTGAAATTGAATTAAAACAACTTTATTGCAACAAAACAGTCAGAAATAACAGACACCCAGAAAAATAAAATTATAAACAAAAAATTATTTTGACATAAATTTTCTGTTACTGTTCAACACAGTTTGCAAAACATTCTTGAACTGAAGTGAAATAATAGTTAATGTTTTTATAATCTTGTTTCCAACTTTATATAAACAGCACAGCTGTATCGATTGTAGCCTTTTTGCTATTTATATTGTTACAAATGGGGGTTTATGAAAACAGTTGATTTCAGGAATTGACTAAGTGGATTTTTCAATAAGTAAAATGAATATTCCTAACCCCCATATTGTAAGCGATTTCTCCAGAATATACCTGAGCGGTTGGTATAATTAGAGGCATATGAATTTTTGGTTCTCTGGCACAGCTTTGGTGAAAAGAATAATAATCAAGGCACACTTGGCTAAACAAATGTTTATTTACAATGATAAGACAAACACTGTACCACACATAACAATTACAACAAATGAGTTACTATATTTACAGTACGTACACAAAGGCATTTCAGAGGCCTAACATCCTAATCACCCAGAAAACCCCAGACTGCAACTAAGTATCGTACTCTTAAATAATGGCTTATTTACAGATGCCAAAATAAGAGATAGACTGTCTTCTTAATAAATGTGATACAACTTGCAGTTACTTCTCTGCAAACCTGGATGCCACAAAATAAATGGGAGCCTATCTCTCTGTTCTAAAAATACACCCACAAACAGGGAAAAAAAAAATTTTCCAAACCAAATTATTTTTTATCGGGAAACTCAAGTTCCCTAAAAACACAGAATATCAAGTTCTCTCTAGAAAGGTGGGGGCTCTTGTCTGGCGCAAGCTTCGAGTTCCAAGCTCTCCTGACTCCTCTGTTGTGGTCTGACCTTCTTCCATTCCTCTCTTCTCTCTTTGTGTCTTCTCCCCTCTTCTCTTTAGTTTTAATGTGATATTATGTGGTGTGTTTCTGGACTGCTCATTATCAATCATTTACCCACAATTTAATTAACTAGGTAAGCAAAAGTAAACTTTCCAATCCATTTGCGCAGGGGGCTTCCTACATATCACCAAAAATCCCCTGGCAATGTGTACACTGCGTTACAAATGTTATCTAAACTCTTAGATACTCCTCCTAGTCCCCTATAGCTGTAACAATATAATTTGAAGTTTAAAAAATCTTTAAGAAATGTTTGAAGAAACTCAAATGCAGTAATCAGTCACATTTAAGTTAGAAATACTTTTGAATCATTGCGACACAGTGCATAATCAAAATTAGAACAAATAAATCAGAGATATTTGTTTTGCTATTTATAGAAGATGAACTTTGCACAAGCACATGTTTGGCTTCATCTTAAGTTTGATGACTCTCTTCTAACTCATCAAGCAGTGATAAATTCACTTTACATTGGATTCTACATAATCCTAATATAAGTAACTTTCTTTTTTTCTTCTTCAGACAGCAAAGTACACCATAATGCATACCATAATATGTTACTCTGTGACTGCACTTTCTCACATGTCGAGATTACACATATCAGATCATATCTGACATGTACTGTGCTGAGAGTGCTGGCTATTCAGAAATGTTGTAAAAGTGATTTAACAGTCCTACAGGTCACTTTTTAAATCATATGTGAATGTTGTTTTTTTCAGACCCAGATCCCTGATGTTTCCAGAACTCCCCTAAAATCTCTGGAGGAGATCAAACAGCTGTTTCAGAGGTTCTCTGTTTCTCGGTTCAGCTCATTTTCACCCTCTAGTGGCAAGGGTTATCCTACAGATAGTCCTAGCAGTTTCACAAGGAAGCTCCGATATTTCAGTAAAGTAAAACCATCGTCACCAAGCGTGCTCAAAGAAGAACAGCAGAATGTTGCAGGATCAGCTGTGGAAGACCAGTCTGATGGCAGCCAGTTTCTGAGTGATTTCACAAATCAGCCACAGGTCGAAGAAGCTGCTGGCAGCATCCTGTCTGATCCTGTGGCTATGCAGCCTGGTATTGATGAGCTGAATTATGAGGCAGAAAGCCCTGATGAAGCAGCATTAGTACATGCTGCAAGAGCTTACAAATGCACTTTACGCGCCAGGGCCTCTGACCAACTCACTGTAGAGTTACCTGGTGTTGGAAACTTGAACTTTCATCTTCTGCACATTCTGCCATTCGATTCTGTTAGGAAACGAATGTCAGTTGTGATCCGACACCCCATCACAAATCAAGTTGTGGTCTACACCAAAGGGGCTGATTCAGTTATAATGGATCTTCTTGCCAGCTCCCTTAAAGGTAAATATTTTCTCATAATGGGGGTATTGGAATGAGACATATTTGAAGGGTTACGGGTTGAAGGGGTATATACTGATATGTTATACTATGTCATACACTAGATACAAAGAGACTATTGCCTGTGAAAACGGCTGTTTATTATTTGTATACATACCTCTGGCAAAATGTAGAAGGTGTCATCCTTCTAAGCATAAGACAGTTTACACTAACACAATGTGTAGACGTGATTGGACACCATCCCTGGTACAGAATGAATCCAAATGAGGATGTCTGCTTTTCACAGAGAATAGGCACCAAACATTGATTGTGACTGGCACTGATGATGTGACTGTTTCCAGTTTTCTAGTCCATGTGCCACTGACCTGAACTGGGATACCATTTTCCATTAACTACAGCCCTCTATAGGCATAAATGTTTGTGATTAATTTTGATTTATGTGCAAAAGACAAAGATGTAGGGACCAAAGCAATCATGAACACTATGATTTGCTGTTTATGTTCAACATGAGTTATAAGTGCATCCAATAGTAATGGTATCTAGTTTTTCCCCTTCTGTAATAAGCTCAAAACTTTTTTAGCCATACTTACACTTTTTTTACATGGTGATTTGGCTTGCTTTAGAATAATATAGATAAATAATATTTCAGTTTTTTTTGGTTACCTCTTGTAATCATATGATTACAGTATATGCTATCAGATTGAGAGTGCATTTTACAGATTTCACTGTGTTGTGTGGCTTGAATAATTAGTAGTGAAACAGTGTCATGTTTTACTTTTTCTAATAGATGTGTTTCTCATTAATTTAAATAAAATGCCTGTACTATCTTTTTAACATGTATTAATTTTAGTTTCAGATGATGTTCTGTCAGGAAAAGAGCAGAGAAAAATTAAAGAGCTCACACAAAAACATTTAGATGACTATGCTAAAGAAGGACTGCGCACTTTATGTATAGCTAAAAAGGTACGTAATAGTACATTTGGTGAATATTGTTTTTTAGTATTTTAAGTTTTTTATCTATAAATTGTGTTCATGTTCTTTATAATATTATGAAAGTCGAAGATGCTAAGGTATACTGTATAATAAATGAATCTTATATTTTCATTTATAAAACAACCACTTTTATGAGAACCTGAATTGTTGGTATATTGTATTGTTTTAAATACAATTGTGATATTGGAACATTGTGAAATGTTATTTTGAGGAGTCTTTATGAAGAAACGTGGAGAGGAGTATCAGTGAGGAGGAATGGGGATGGGTGAAATGAGTGGGGAAATATATTCATATTTTATCGAAAAACAAAACCAAAAGGAAAAGAAATGGGTGTAAATGTGTTTATTAATTTTATTTTATTTTTTTAAGTGGGACAAGAATAGTGGAAATCGAATGACTAAAAGTGTTTATTTAAAAAAAAAACATTATTATTCAATAGGTCCTTCGTGAAGCTGACTATGAGGAGTGGTTGAAACATCATTACTTGGCAGAAACCAGTATAGAAAGCCGAGAGGAGCTCTTGATGCAGTCTGCATTTAAACTTGAAACAAATTTAATGCTGCTTGGTAAGTTGTTGCCACTAGCATAAAATAAAATGAAACAGGGATGCACTATGTACTTTTCCCACAAGAAACCCTTATGTTTATCCCCTTGAGACTTTTTTTTTGCTTGCTGAAATGCTTGAGAGTGTGCAGGTAGGTCTTGCTACCTAACAATACAAAATATGTATTGTTTCTTGATTTATCATACTTTGCTACAGTCGGCAACAGGCAACTTTTTTTAAGAGTGTTCGAGACAATATACTCTGTATGTATGTACCTAGCTATGCACCCGGATTAACTGAGTCGCTTGAGTGACACATGGACAGCTGTGTAAACTTTTTGTCTGTGTTGTTCCAGCCATTGTTAATTTCCCTTTGTCTCATACAGTAATTTCAGAGTATATATGTCTTAGCATATACTTTATAGTACCAAGAAAAAGTCTGTTAACTCCCTGTATTGGTCTGTACTATCTTCAATTGTAGACCTAAAATGTAATTAGATCTTCCTGATAGTCATATTAAAAGATAAACATAACCTGATTAAACACATATCACAAATATATAAGATATATTTAGATTTAATTGACAGCATGATCAAACAGCACATTTCCTTGTGTGAACTAGTATGTGATCCCTTAGATGCAATATCTGGTGGCACCTCCTTGAACAATGACTTCAACTAGACATTTCCTATAACTGTTCATCGGTATCTCATATTGCCTTTTATGTGTCGATGCTTTAAGTAATGATATTTGAGTATTTCCTTGCATGAGCAGCTGGCTCGTTTCTTGGCATAATATTTGGGGTTTAATTCTAAACTTTGTCCTTGCTAATTCAAAAATGTAAGATTTCAGCTTCTTCAGTCATTTTTTGGGAGATCTGCTCTTATGTTTAAGGTCATTATCTTGCTGACCAACCATTGGCTTAGCTCCTGTTGACAAATAGTGGGCTCATCATTCTCCCCCAAGAGATTGTCTAAAATCCCTTTTAACATGACATACTGTAAAATGTTTCCGCTAAACTGTGTAGTGAACACCAAACTGACAATGTTTCTGATAGGACTGCCCAAACTCAGTTTTAATTTACTTGTTACTCATCTTAGACCCACCCAAATAATTAACCATCTGTTTCTAAGTACTCACTTAATTTAGCTAGCTAAGGGTTCACCTATTTAACTTACACTGAATCAAATTAATTTATTTTCTACTTCATACATCATTGTGTCTAAAAAAATAATTGAATTGGTTAATCTAAACAGCTCAGTGAAGTTGGCCCCCCTACAAACAGCACAAATGTTGAACCCACTGCCTTTGTACCTGTTTTTGCTGGTGAAAGTAGCTTCCCAGCTACTTTCATTTCCAAGACATCCTTTGTCTGATAAATACTTGACCATGTAAGTGAACTTGACCAATAATAACACCATCAAGCACATTCAGACAGTTCAAGCCCTAAATTATTGGATACAGTCTGCAATTTAGTTTTTCTGTTTGGCAGAGGAAACTTCACAGAGCTAATCCAAACCCTTTAATTGTTTTAAAAAACCTGGTTGGTTATCATGAATGTTATCATGGAAAAAAATGTATATTTACTTAATTATTTTAGAAATTTACAAACTTTCTCTTAGTACTATATGTTTATAAATATGAAATTCAGAAAAACCTGAAAATAAAACATACTTCATAGTCATTTACAAAATGAGCACTTTGACAGTTTTCATCATGTAATCAGGTTTCAAAAGCATAAACATTCTGTCAGCTAGAAGCAAACTAATATGTGTGATGATGCATAAAATGTGTCCCACCACGAAAAACATTTTTTCCTTCACATTGTAGATTAACGTAAAAAAATAATTGATAAAAAGTTAACACTGCATTTGTCAGGATTGCATCCTCTTGTAAATCAAAAACTATTTGTATTTCTACACAAGGCAAAAACACTTCAGTTGTCTGGTTATTGCTCTATAAACCATGCAGCATTACAGTATAGCTTTATTATGTCTATCACAACTGAGTACATACAGTAATAAGTATTAATAAATTGAATATAGTACAAGTAATATTTTATTTTGCTTTCCTATTTCATGTTTTGTTTTTGTACTTCCTAAAAATGAACAAGCAGAAAACATATTTTTTTCTATTTGTGTATTGAACTTTTCAAATTGTCTTTGATAAAAAATATAGCCATTAACATAGCCATTCAACAGAATGGTTACAATTTGTATTTTATAATGATTCTGTGTCTTTAGGTCTACGTTTACTATTATTCTTATTTTTTTAACTTTTACAGTTTTGTAAATTTGTGATGTAAATTTTGAATTCCCTTTTAACTAACAACTGTAGCCATGTAGCTGTAGCTATGTAAGTGTTTAACCTCTATTTTTCTCTCTGCCAAGGGGCCACCGGTATTGTGGACCGACTTCAGGAGGATGTTGCAGAAACAATTGAAGCTTTGCAGAAAGCAGGCATAAAAATGTGGGTCCTAACAGGAGACAAACAAGAGACTGCAGTCAACATTGCTTGTTCTTGTAAACTGCTGAGCCCTACTGATCAAGTTTTAACTGCAAATTGCAATAGCAAGGTTAGTATATTTCTTCAAGGTTCAGTACCATTTCCTTTTATCATGTTGTGATGGATACAGGGAAGACCACCTCTTAGAAGAGGTTTAGTGGCTAGATGTACAGTACAGTATTCTGTCACTTTTAAAAATGTCATGGTTACAATTTGACATCACTGCATTGAGAGGATACTTAAAACAAAGATTTATTTTGTAATCCATTTGTTAATCTCAGGAATGATAAGAAGTTTGTTAACAGATGAATAAAAAATCCTTGACAATCCTTGTGTAAGGGCTCCAGGAGAGGAGTAATGTAATCACTTGCACAAGACCTGGTTAAGATTCTGGCTGCCAAATTCTGGAAGTACTTAAGTTTGTTCAGTGTGGACTTAGAAACCCCATCACACAGATTGTTACAGTTATCAATTTGAGAGAAGATGAAGTGTTGACCAGCTTTTCAGCAACTGTTAGCAACAACATAGAACATAGTCTGGCAATATTTCAGATGTGATAGAATGATGTTTTTGCAATATGATGTACATGTGGGTCAAATGTCAAACCTGAATCAAATATCACCCCCAAGTTCTTCAAGTTAGATTGAAATTCAAGTACAGTGCTATCCACAAATAGGTTTACAGTCGATTTGAGGCACCGAGAAGCATGAGTTCATTCATGTCACAATTTAAATGAATGAAATTTTGAGTCTGCCATGTTTTTACTGTATGTCAGAGATGCAATAAGACAGCGCAGAGACTTTAGTGTCAGGTTTAGTATGGATGTAGATTTGATTATCATCAGTGTAGAAATTATATTTTTGACCATGTGATCTTAATAGCTGACCAAGTGGGAACATGTAAATGCTGAATATTAGATAAGATATGATTTTATTGTCACCTGATGGAAATTTTTTATTGAGACCCAGCACTCTACATTTAAATAAATGCAAACAAAAAAAAAGAAAATAAAATCATTGCACATTAGGGGGCTCAGTATCGAGCTCTGAGGAACACCAGGCCGAACGGGTCCAATTACCCATTAAAATCATACAGATACATTATTTCACTTACTACACATTGGTGTATTATTGTTATTTATGCAGGCTTTTCCAAATATCAGTTTAGTTTTAGAGTATCATTTGTCCTTTTGAAGCACTGTTTGAAATAACTGTTTCCATTGCATTATATAATTCTTTGATATATACACAGGACAAATCATTTTCAACTGATGGAAAAAAAAGAACAGTTTAAGGGGGTTCTTCCAATGAGTTTACCTATATCTAATCTGTTTCTAAAATACAGCTCACAGATTTTTTCATTTCTTGTTCCAGGAGGCATGTGAGGCCTTGTTTCATCGACTACTTGAAACAGTCCGGGAGAGTGAGCCAGGGGAAAAAGCAGTAGGCACCACCTTCACACTAGTCATTGATGGCAGAACCCTGGATTTTGCTCTGCATAAAAGTCTGGAAGAGTCATTCCTGGAAATCACCAAGCACTGCCGAGCTGTCATCTGTTGTAGATCTACACCACTGCAAAAAAGCCAAGTGGTGAAACTTGTACGGGACAAACTGAAAGTAATGGTGTTGGCTATAGGTAGGTTCTGTTCCCTTAGGTATAGGGTACGCATCTAGGAAAATCCTGACAAGGTTTGGACTAGCCAGTAGAACACACATTATCAAGCCAACCAGTTACATTTATTTCAAATTATACTTTTTTCTACGTTTTTAACGACTTGAGAGCAAGAACTAGAAATTGTACTAAGGTTTGCATTTTCCACTTATTTTAAACTTATAACTAAAGATGTCTATGACCATCATATACTTCCTTTTTAAATGATGGTTAATTCAAAGTAGAAAGTTGTGACTGATCCAGTAACGCATTTGAAGTTCAGGTTCAAGTGTGGGTTATGTCTGTAGTCAAAAATATTGCTGAGGACTTATGTAGAACTGACTGAATATCACCAATGTTGGATAATGTTTAGAGTATTTCTGTGCTTTCCATGCAACTGTGACTGTTGTGGGCTTTTAAAATTTCACCTCTAAATTTTCATCTAAGGGCATTTCAGGACTCAATAGGTGTGAAAAATGATAGGTGGGTTTGACCATTGCACATGCTCACAATCAATATCCCATGGATGTCTCACATTCAATACTTTGTTGCCATAACAACCAATAGCATGGAATTTGGTTTGGTGAGCTTATACAATTAAAATCCTAAATACACACCAGTAAATAAATAACAGCGAGACCTGATAGAATAAGAATGCGCTGTGCACAAATGGATGTTTTCCTGTCCTATAAGCGTAAAAAGTATCTTACATCATGCTCCTGAATAGTAAAGAGCACTAAGAGGGACCCCACTTGCTGTCTAGATGCAGTCCGCTGCATGGTGTTTTGTGCATTGAAACTGTAGTTGAATTCGCCTTGCTTGTCATTGGTGATTAGTTTATTTTCTAGTTGATCTTATATTCAGCTTTGTTCCTCTTTATGTTTAGGTTGGAGTTTATATTTGCTAGTTTTGAAGTCTTTGAAAGCCTTGTTTTTCTTTTTCCACAGGGTTAGAAACAGGGCTTCTTTGTGTTGTACTCTTTAAACATGCTTAAAAGTTAACGTACACTACATTGTCAAAATTAAGTGACAGTATTTTATGTATTCATCAATCAGATTTATTATTTATAAATTTTCATTTACACCTGGCATCTACCTAAAAGTACCTATAAAGTACTTAAAAGTCAAAGACTGGGGACCCAAGATCATATTAGCATCTTTTTATTTATGAGATTGCTTTTGCTTTGTGTTGTTTTCAGCCTAATGCTGGTTTAAATGTGTTTAAAAGCACATAAGAATGCATCAGCACAAGTACCTTTCCTCTTTCTTGCTCTAGATGAAGGCATTGTCTGTGGTTCAGGAGTCTATGCTGAGTGTATTCATTTGAGCTTGACAGTGTGATGTTATTGAGTTTTTTTGGAGCATACAATTATTATCCAGTGGCATAATAGATTGAGAACTGCAGTTTACTATTATTTGTTTTGATATTTCTTCACAATGGATTTCCAATTTTTCCATTCTTTGTAGGTGATGGTGCTAATGATGTCAGTATGATCCAGGTTGCAGATGTAGGAATTGGAATTTCAGGACAGGAAGGCATGCAGGTATTCACCTGAAGTGATTATTTTATCTTGTCTCTTGTTTGCATTATTTCATTAAACATTTGATTTTTCTGGAAGACCGGGTTTTCATATTTTAATAGTATATACTATTCATTTTTAAATTTATTAATTTTTGCAAGATAATATGAGACCATGAATTACTCCTGTCACTCCTTCTTAAAACTAGCTCATCTCAACCTTATCATAAGAGTAACTTGTCATATTTTATTTCTTGCAGGCTGTGATGTCCAGTGACTTTGCAATTTCAAGGTTCAAACATTTGAAAAAGTTACTGCTTGTCCATGGACACTGGTGTTATATAAGATTAGCAAACATGATTCTTTATTTCTTCTATAAAAATGTTGTAAGTATCAATTTAAATGAACGTTTAGCCAAGTAAAGTTTCTAGTTGAATTGTTGACCTATCTACTGTTTAGCTCTAGGTAGAATTTATTAGAGCTACTGTGCACTCAAAACATATTGGGACAGCAAATTCAGAACTATTATTTTTGTTTTACAGTCAAACAATTTAAATTTAAGACCAGGATATTACTATCAACAATACAAACAATATAATATTTCCTTTGGATATTTCCATGAATACTAGAGATCTAGAACACTAGTTAATGGAATTTGATCTAGAACAATTCATGCTTTGTATTTAACCTATTGATTTCTAGTGACCATATTCATGCCCTTGATGAAATGGGAACAAAAAGCATCATATAGCATAAAGAGTTAATAATTGCATAATGTGTCTCACTTAAAACAAATCTAATAGATTTATACTGTAATCATGGTACTTTTGTAAATTGTTTTTATCATAAATTGTTAAATTCCAGAAAAAAAGAGGAACATGTTTATTTACTTAAAATATTACTTTAAATACATTTCAACAAAATTAAATCTACAAATATTTTGCTCTTTGAAAGAGCACTGGAAGTCTCTAGAATTATATTGAGGTCTCAGAAGGTTTCCTTTTTCTCTAGAGTATAAAAGGAGGTAATACATGGAAAAAATTCAGTAGTTGCATGCATGATCCGGGATAAAGTCAGAGAGATCTTTGTAGACTCCTGACAAATGGTCATTGAACTCCACAAGTTGGGAGATGGCTAAAAAAGAATTGACACGAGTCATTTTCTACTGTAGTGTCCATTTTAAGAAATTTAAGGCCACTGGTATGGTGGCCACACCACTAGGCTTAGGATACAAATGTATTTTGCCAGCACGGGCTACTAAACCAGAGGTTTAGGGATGCAACCATTAAGCCAAAAGTAATAGCTGGAGATCTAATATATGCTGGCAACATTGAAATCGGTGATAACTCAAGTTGGTAGATCACTAATGAAGGTAAAAGACAAGGACAATTCAACCTACAGCGGGATGTTCATAAATTCCCCCTCACAGTACAAGCACAGGAGGTGTCTAGTCAGTGAAATGCTCACCAGGGAAGGTTTTATAAAATACTAACTACAGGGTTGTAAATTAATGCAGCACTTGTTTTTTCTAGACATTTACTCTATGCACTGCTTTTAAGATTACATTTTTGAATTTTTTGAAATACAAAACATTATCCATTCTTGAAATGGATATTGTTATTTCATTTTTTATCATTCGATCAAGAGCATGAATACTTTTGGAGGACTCTTAAGTATTGGGGCTGTTCTGATGTCTATTTAGCATGTAAAATACATTTAGAGCTTACATATTAGCTAACAAATACATATCGAGACTGACACAGGTAGTCTACGATTTTCTGCTTTTTTCATCTAAAGAACTCCTTGGTTGTATTGGCTGTAAATTTTAATCCATTGTCATGCCGCATGATGAAGTTCTAGAGTAGGCCATACATGCTCACGCCATGGCATTACCTCCACCATGCTTCACAGATTAGGAGTGTTCTTCAGAGAAACTCGGTTTCTCTCTCTACACTTGAATGTTTCTAACAGTTTTGGAAAGGTATTGGTATCTTCTGTGCCAAAAAAAAAGTAGCTAATTTGTGTAGTAGGTTCTAAATTAACAAAGTACCTGACATCAAACACTTGACCAAGAGACATCCTGCCAGTTATCCCATTTTTTTCTTTTAACATAAAGGGGTTCAATGCTGTAAATTTTTTGGATTGGCACAAAAATTAAATTGGGCCATATAGCTGAATATTGTTTTTATTTTAAAAAAATACTTAGTACTTTGTACATGAGAAATTAATTATAAGAGCTCATTATAACAAAAATTGGCCCTGGCCAATAGACTGGCGTCCCATCCAGAATGTATCATGCCTTGCACATTCAAATACATACAGTTAATAGTATTTGTGACCCTGAAAGTAAGATTTTGTAGGACATGATGATAATTTTGCAATGCTGAATTTAATACTGAATGCTTTGCTGTTTTCCTAGGCTTATGTGAGCCTCCTGTTCTGGTACCAGTTCTACTGTGGATTTTCAGGCAGTACTATGACAGACTATTGGATACTCATTTTCTTTAACCTGCTTTTCACTTCGGCTCCCCCGCTTATTTATGGCATCTTGGACAAAGATGTCTCTGAAGAGACCCTTAGAGACATACCCGAACTTTACAAAAGTGGCCAAAACTCAGAGGTAATCAAACATATGAATGGAAAGTGTTCTCTAAGATCTTCACAGAGTCCTATAGAATACCTTATTAGAGTAGTTTATTGCCAGATGTACACAGACATTGGAATTCTTAATCGCGCTGATCTCTCAGGACATACACAGTACAGCAGACAACACCACACAATGTTGACAGTACATTACAAACATCATAAATAAGAACAACAGGAACAATAAATATGTTGTAGACAGTAAATATGTAGTAATAAGAAAAGAACATGGTAGACCATGCAAAACGTGCATAGTACAGATGTGTATTGAATCTGAGGTCCTGCAGTTAGCTGTTGAGGATGCAGTGGGATAGAAACTGTTCTTGAGTATAGTAGTCTGTGTTTTAATAGTGTGGTACCACTTGCTGGAGCACATGGAGGAGAACAGTTTTTGGCCAGGATGAATGGTGAAATGGGCTTTATTGTGACAGCAGATATAGTGAATCTCAGCGATTCACATATTATAATCCTCTATGCTGTTGCCACAACCCTTTGTACTACAAATTGTAGTGCATGTCCATCATGCATTGGCTTATTGCTATACCAAATACATTTTGAATTTTCAGTTGTAGGACTATTTTCAGTTTCATTTTTATTAAAACCTTAAGATGCAAAATAGACTTTGGTTAATCCTTATTTTTTGTCCATCTTATCTCTTGTTACCTTGAGAAAGCCATACAGTATACATGCTGAACAAGTACAAGCAGCAAATCCAGATTTATGGTGTCAGTCTGTAAAACTTTTTTTAATAAACAGTCATAAAGATTATTCTAATGTTAGTAAGAAATATAATGATTTAAAATCAAATTATCATTAGTTATAAGACCTTATTGTAAAATGGTTTTAGACTCTGTAGATGTCTGACTCTTTTTTGTACCCTCCTTACAGGCCTACCTACCCTCCACTTTCTGGTTTACCATGTTGGATGCACTTTATCAAAGCCTTATTTGTTTTTTCATTCCATACTTGGTGAGTACACAGCTTAATTTGTTACCTGTTTCTGAGGAAAATTAACAGAACAGTTTGTTGCTTTTTTGAACTTTTGAAAAGAAACATTTGTCCATCATAATAGTTTTGACAGAATGTGCATTTTGGCCATTCATAACCTAATGATTTTCTTTCTCAGCATAATTGCTTTTTTGATAGGTATGTTATTTAGTACACAGACTAGGTCATACATGGTTTCAACAGATCTCCGTACAGTAATCATGGATCATTAAGGCTTGTTAACACAGAATCCAACACCCAGATTATCTAGATGGCATGCCATGACAGATGTCAACTGTTATCTTAGTTAAATTTCTGAAGTTCTTTCTTCAGAAGTCTCTGATTATTGATCATTGGAAACTAAATTTGCTTTTCTTACAAAACATATTTCCATTGAATTGCTTAACTGAAAATGCGAAGGGCTAATTGCATCCTGAAAGCTTTGCATCCGGAACGCATTAGTTCTTGCTTGGGTGCCTGCCCAACATATTGAAAATATTGAAGAATTATTTTAAGTTTTGTTTTAGACGGTTTATAGGATTAACAGTATTTTGCTATTTAAAGCTAAAATTGCTTTGCAGGCATATGCTGATTCTGATATAAGTGTTTTCTCCTTTGGAGTACCAATAAACACAGCTGCCCTCCTAATTATTCTCCTGCACCTTGTCATAGAGAGCACAACCTTGGTAAGTGTCAAAGTAACATTTAAGGCAATATTTGGATTACTGTATTGGCACATCTGTCTCAGCTTGCCACACAGCATAGAGATCGCCGATTTGAATCTGAACTGTTTTATTTTTAACATTTTGTATGAGACTAATGTACATACTGCTACTGATTCAAAGGTCTTTCTTTCCTCCAAAACCGAAAGAAATCTTTGTATTGATCCCTGCATCATCTAGTACATCCTCAGATACAAACAAACATCCTACTTAAAAAGTTAAGAATGTCTCCACCCATGCTTATTATAGTTTTTTACATAATATCAATTTCTATCAGAGGCCTTTGTTGATGGGTCTCTTATATGGGAGGCATGTTTTTGGCCTGTTTATATTTTGCTAAATTTAGCTAAAATATTGTCTCTGTTTTAAACGCTCTGACCTTTTTCTCTTTCAGACATGTATACACATAATTGTGTTTGTTGGGAGTGCACTGTTTTACTTTGTGTTTGCACTGACCTTCAGTGCCACTTGTGTGACCTGCAACTCTCCAGCAAACCCCCTGGGGATCATGGAACAGCAGATCTCAGATCCCATCTTCTACTGTGTCTGTGTCCTGACCACCGTCTTGGCACTCCTTCCAAGGTAACTGAAGACACAGCTACTTCCTTCATAAAGGTCTTCCTGCCTAAGTACAATTATAATCTCTATCTCTATACTTTAGTGCTTTCTGATTAGAGTAGGAAATTGATGGAATTAGACTATCCTATCTAAACTGTTACCCTGCTTGATAGATGAATTGGTGCTTTGTCTCTGCTACCCTTATTTGGGGTTCTTATTGTTTAGACACTTTTCTCTGCTGATCAACTCAAAGAAAAAAAAAGTATGTAAACACTTTTTTTAAAATAAAGTTAATTTAATCCTCAGTTTTGGATGAAGGATTTGTTTTAGATTTTCTATTTGTAACATTAGTTTAGTTTGCAAGACAATCCACAAATATATTTGTTTCATAGTTTAAGGGAATTAAAATAAACTGCTAAAAGGTTTTTCACAATCATAAATAAGTTATACTGTATATATTTCTATTATAATATTGACATTTATGACAATTATAAGTCCTACATATTATTACCCATTTGTTCATTATTTCATTTAACATCAATCTATATATTTTTTCATCAAAATATCTGTCACTAAATGTTATTAGCTTTCAAAATTTAACTGGAAAGCTCTCAAGTAACTTATTTTAATTATAATTGGTTTAAGAGTACTTCTAATTTCAATTTGATAAATACTCTAATTTTTAGGAACTGGCAGAAATAATTTAGGATATTTTTTAAGCTTTATTTTAAGAAGCTGTTTATTTTCTTAGTTCATGAAGACTTGGCACAAGAGTGAAGATTGTCCTGTATCGTCATTAATCATTGAAATCATTAATGTTTTCTTCCATAAAAACTGAAATTTACAAATGTTCCTCCACAGAAAAATGAGTGGTAGGACATTCAGAGTAGTTGATTCACTATATTTCTTTTTTCCCTTTTTTCACAGGATTCTATATCGAAGTATTCAGAACAGTGTTTTCCCACCAGACATTATAAAAGCTGCAAAATTTGACAAGCTTAGCCCAGAGAAACGTAGGCAAAGAATTGAGAAATGGAATGAAATGCAAAAAGTAAATGACCTGCTCCTTCCAGGAAGCATCAGGAACACTAAATTGACTGAAGATGGAGTGTCCATAAGAGAATGCAATATGCATAGAGAATCTTAGTTAACGTGACTGTCTTGCTGAACCAAACCACTGTACAGTATATTGTAAATGTATGAGGACCTTATAACTCACTTGGAAAACACGAACCCTATACGCACCAAAGAATAAGCAGGGCTACGGAAGTGACTATATGACATTCTTTTTTTTAACACTGAATGGGAACTGAAGTAAGATTTAGAGCGTTAGATTTCCATTGATATGCAAGACCGCTGCCCCATAAAAACAAACACACCAAATGCAATCTCTAATTTTTCGACAATATGTGTTTGCCTTTGGTATAAATAACTAATAAATAGCTATATGAACAACTGGACTACATTTTATAGGGTATACTGTACGTGACCTGATTTACAAAATCTGTTGTCTTTGTGTCTTCTCCATTTTGTGATGTTGAATCATGTGCCTGTCTTAAAGTCAGAGTTGTCAAATCCTGTTCCTGAAGAGTTCAATGTCTCTGAGTGTATTTAGGTCTTTTTAAAGAATTTGTGCCTTAGAAATTAGATAAAACATTAAATTGGTACAATTAAGTCAATAATATGTTGATAAAACTTCATAATACCTGTGTTGGACTGAAAACTTGAAGACACTATGACCACCCAGGACCAGAATTGTATTGTAATTCCCGTTAAATGTCAACCTACTCATTCCAGTCTGGCAGTGTTTTGTATGCTATACATAAAGCTGAACTGAATGACCAGTTTTCGTGAAGAAGCATGTTGTGCTGTTCTTATTCTGCACAAATGCTAATAATCTAACACTATACTGGTTTGTAATCAAGGATTGTGTTTACAAGCAAACATATTAACTGCAGGATTACAACAAAAATATTTTAGTTTATATTTGTGTTTTTTACACATTTGAGTTGAGTCAAAAAAGAACAAAACCACAAAATAAATAGTCAATGGACTTTTGATTTTGTCCTTTTGAAAATGATTAAGAATATGGTATACTGTAGCTACAGCTGACAATTTCAAAACAAACTTTTTACAGTTCAATAAATATGAATGACTGTAATCTTTAAGACCTTGGTCTTTGCTAGTGATGTTTTAATGAATTATATTTATCATTTGCACTCACCAAAAATTGTTTTAAATGCCAAAATGAATCTTAAACCATGTCACTGTCTTTTATCATGGCCAGTCATTGTGAATGTATAGAAATTGAAGTGTATGTATTTGGAAAATATTGAACAAATCCTCCAGCTGAATTTAATGCATTTGCCTGACAACATACTGTACCTATTATCTTTAATTTTGTTAGTTAACAAACCCTCTATACATGTAGATTATTTTACCAAGTTTTAATCTGTATTTCCTTTTCCATTTGACTAAAACTGTTTATGTGTTTTTAAGTGCATCTTAAATTACCAGGAAAGTCATTTCAGTTTTGAGACACAATTACAGTACTTTCTGTATTATAAAACTGACTTGTTTATATTTTAAAGAGAAGAGGTGATAAAAGTTTTACAATATTTATGACACAGAAATTAAAATTAAACTGCAATAATCATGAGTGCATCTGATGTAGGTTGTTAGTTATTTTTATTTGATCATTTTAGCATTATTTTTCCTCGGCAGAAATCATTCAACAGGCAACTGACGTTAAATATTTGTATTCATTGAGGAAAGGATTTAAGTTGCAGTAATTCTTGTTTTTTTTCTGTAAGACATTGATGAACCTCTAACTACAGCTTAAAAACAGTACATGGCTCAAAATGTAAAAATCAGACAGGAGCCCATATGTAGCACAGGGAGTAAATATAAGAAGTTCATGAATGACCACAAATTAAAAAATAAACATTGTGGATGGAATAAATTTACAGTAGCTTATTTCAGAAAATTGAGGCCGTGACAGTGTTTCATTTATTGTAAGTATTTTGTTCACAACTCTCATCTAGTGTGGGTCACAGGTATGGTGTGTCATACTAATGATGGTCTCACTAAATGTAATTATGCTGTTACATGTTGCACTAGGTCTCTTTGCTTACAGCCATTCATCATGTTTTGTACATTTATTTGTTTTTAATTCACCAGAACACAAAAGTGTACCGTGTGTGTTGTTTTGTTTTGTGATTTCATACCTATTCACACACATTGTCTTCACATTTCACGCTCTTTAATAATAGGGTCATCATACTATTGCTAATAAGGCTATTGAAGAAGGCTCCACGGCCGAAACGTTGTGTTCTCTTTCTTCTTTTTTCAGCATGGAATAAACCTATTACTTGTTCCTTTGCAGCCTACGCATGCTGACGCAGCTACCCACCTGAACTACTTAATAAGGAGAGATGTGTGCATTTCTAAAGAACAAAGTATCATGTTGTTACATGATGTCTTGAAATGTGTTTTATAGTATAGAAAATAATGGAAAGGAAAAATGGGTATATAGTGCAAATACATATTAATAATAGCTTTGAAATTAAATTTAACCTAATACTATATCATACTGACATGTTATAATGGCTTTGGTTAGCTGGCAGCCCAAATCACATATATAAGTGTACGCAATGGTACAATTGTAGAGTTTTAAATACAGTACATGGTGACTGTTGTAGCACTAGGAAGGAAAATCATGTAATAAGTGTATAAGTCTAGATTTTAAATAATGATTACAGCCCAACCTAATTCTTACCCAGTACTTTAATAAGAGAGAAGGTCACTTTATTGGCCATATACAATTTCTTGTATAAGGAATTTGTCTTTCCATATATCCCAATGTGCTTTCCATGAGACACACAGACAGGGAGAGAAGCTTGGGGTTAGCCATTTACATAGCACCCCTGAAGCAGGAGGGGTTAAGGGCCTTGATCAGGGGCCAAATGGAGTAGGATTCCTCTGCCAGCCACGGGATATGAACCAGCAACCTTCCAGCCACAGAGCCACCACACCTCTTTTATCTGAGGAGGTTGTTGTAACTCGTACCATTACAGTAGTAGTGGCAAACAAGAAAAGCTCAAACTCTCCAAAATTGATTCCTCATCTTAAATTCTGTATGTGACGGGTGACAATCCATTAAAGATCTTGAGAATAACAATGCTGTAGGTGCACATGGATAAATGGGTCCTTAAATGAGGCCAAGCAACCTATTTTAATATATTTGTATATTAAACTGTGAACACTTTAATTTATTTGTAGGACTGTATGATCTACAGTAACATCATACATATTAAAATGACTTTTTCTAAACATTTTTTTGTCACTGTAAACTTCATATGTTCTTAGAGCAACCTACATGTGTTTTTAGATGATACCAGGCAAACTATAGATGGATTTTATTTCTGCAACTAGTATAAAAGAATGTATATGATGTTTTATACCATTTTAGTGTAGAGCTATACTGGTGTAAATACTTTGATTGGAATGTATGTATTGGATGAAAAACTTTAGTAAAAGATATTGATGCCAAAAGATCCACTTTTAGCAAGTGTTAATTGTGTGGAGTGTTAAAATGACTACAGTAATTATGTTTAAAATAATTCTGAAATCCTGAAATGCTGTTTGGATTTTTAGTTTTACTTCTTAGTTGGTTTTGTTCAGTTACGTGAGCAAAATACTGTATCATATATAGTATCACATATTAATTGCTAGCTAAACTAAAACAAACTAGCCTTGTGTGATAATAAATAGTACAAATATTTCAAGGTTTGGAATGGATACATTATAATCACATTTCTATTGGTTTGGACACCAGTCATGTCCATTTCTACATGCTCCTTCTTTTGTTCTTCTTACCAAACCCTTTGCTTCTTTTTCTGTTTTCACAGTGGAATTAGCTTCTAAATATTCCTTTGATTTATAATGGTTTCATTTTTATCAGACTTATTAGTAACAAAAAGTTTATTCAATGAGCCAATTAGAACTTAGTACTAAAATTATGAGCCAAAATAAGTCCCAAGGTCAAACTCTCAGTATTCTGAATCCGCATTAGAAACCAGAAAACAGTACTAAGTTTATGAACCAGAATAAGTCCAAGGTCCAACTCTCAATGTTCCGAAACAGTATTAGAAACCAGAAAACATTGGAATCTCAAGGACCAGATGAAGTTAATTTCTTGAAATAATCAGATACATCTACAAAATTGGCATCATTTTTTACAATTACATGTGTGAGGTCAAGGAAATATTTCTAAATCTTCAATTTTAATGCAAAACTCCTAATTTTGAAAAAATGTATACTGACTGAAGACTTTTAAGGAACTGTTGTAATACTGAAAGTGTTAATTGCAACATGTCTTCCTTACAGAGTTACAAAACAGAGGAAAGTCCTCTTTTCCTTTTAATGGACTAAATATTTAATATTTTGTCTTTTTTAAGAGTACAAAATTATGACTGAGAGATTGTTAAAAAGTAACAATGCTGATTTAGTCATCGAAAAGTGACACCTTAAGAACATAAGAAAAGTTAATGAATGAAATTAGGACATTCTGCGCATTCGGCCTGTGTAGTTTCTTCACCTTGGTTTAAAAAAATGTTTGGACAGACATAATAGATATTTGAAGAATCACCTAACACAGGCAGTTTGTAACAAATATGCATATAGCCACATTTAAATTATTACGTCAAAGTAATATATTTACACTACCTTTGTTTTTTTTTTCTGCTCAGTGTGCAGTTTATAAAAATCTGCATAATGTTGTTCATTTAACATAACATAACAACACTTTTGCTTGCACTGTGGTTACCAAAGAATAAATCCCAACAATATTATCACCCCTTCTGTTTCACAAATGAAGATGTGGAATAACAAAGGGATTCAGCCATTAACTTCATATTCTCTTTTTTGTTATTAATGTATCGTTATTCACTTGCTTAGCAGATCCCTTATCCACAGTGATTAATAATAACTACTGTATACTGTATTCGGTTTACATTAGGCAAGTAACACCAGTACCACCAGTTAATGCAATGAAAAATAAACCTACCACATGCCAGCACTGGTACTGTACTATGCTAATGAAATAACAGGAGTGTGAAAACCAGGCAACAGTGTAAGTAGCAAAGGAACAAGTAATAGGTTTATTCCATGCTGAAACCTGAAGAAGGCTCCACGGCCGAAACGTTGTGTTCTCTTTCTTTTTTTTTCAGCATGGAATAAACCTATTACTTGTTCCTTTGCAGCCTACGCATGCTGACGCAGCTACCCACCTGAACAGTGTAAGTATCCTGGTTGTATGTTCATTATGTACACAGAGAACAGAAGCAATAAGCAATCTCACTGGCAACTTGAGAATTAAGGATATAATGAAAAATGTAATTAGGATCTAAGAACTATTATTAAATTAACAATTTAATTAACTTTCTGAGTTAGGAGTGGTGACTTTCTCCTGATTATTTGTTTCCCTTTTATGTGGGCCTCTATACTACTATTAGAATACATACAATAATTTGCTTTTATGATATACTTTTTTATATAATATTTTTTAAAGCTGATTGTTATGTATTTAAGAAAACCATGGTATTTATCTGAGTAAGGAGAATGAGTTAAAATTATTTTGCCAAATTGCAGCCCAGTTTTGTATCACATTCAAATTATTTCTGCTGTTCAAGTCCCCTGAAGACCTGACAATTTAACAAATGATATGAGAATTTAAAGCCATATATATTGGTCAGAAGGAGTTGCAGAACTAACATTTATAGTAACGGTGTAATGAGTAATTTAGATCAAATAAAGCTTAATGCATGTTCAGTGTTCACCTTTTCAATTTCATTACAAACCACATGATGTTCTCTGAAGGTCTTGTTTTCAATTGATCAATTCTGTATGCAGTCAGAAAACCTGCACTCGTGCTTGGGAAAAGAATGCTTTGTTGATGATACACATTCTTAGTTCCTGGTTTGTCTGTTGAACCTTGCCAGAAACTAATGACTTGATTTCACCAGCATTGATGAACCATTTTATATAAGTTAAAATAATGTAATTAGGTTGGAGCTAATGTTATGAGTATGCCTATAGCACTGCAGACAAAAGTTCTAATATGGCTGTATATTACCATGGGACAGTCTTTAATACTTCAATAAAAAAACATATTATGATCTAAGGTTTGTGTTCAAGTTCAAGTAAAAGTTTACTTTTCATTCCAGCCATATACAAGTATACAGAGGAGCGAGATATCATTCTCCTGGTCTACAGTGCGAATACCCTGACAAGACAATGCTCTAGACAATGTAGACATAGACATTTATGACAGGGTACAGGGTACATAAAGTGCAATGTGCATATTGCAATTTACTTTACAGGATTGTGCAAAGAATTGTGCAAATCATACATCAGACAGTTTGCCTGACTGAAGTTTCCAGAATTGGAGTAGTTGCAGTAGGTACTGTACCAGGGTGTTGAAGAGCCTGACAGCCTGTGGTAAAAGCTGTTATGGAGTTGGCCCATATACTGCGATACCTTTTACCAGATGGTAGGAGAGCAAAAAGGTTGCAGGAGGGGTGTCCACAATCCTCTCCACTGGAGGCTTTGTGTGTGCAGTTTTTGTGGTATATGTCCTAAATGGACCGAAGGGAGGCTGCAATGGTGTTTCCTGCTTTATTGACAATTCGTTGCAGGGACTTGTGGTCTGAGACCTTACAATTGCCAAACCAAACAGTTTGTCAAGATGCTCTTGATGGTACCTCTATAGAATGTGGATAGTGTGGGGGAGGGAAGATTTCCCCTTCTCAGTTGCTGCAGGAAGTGGAGACGTTGTTGTACTTTTTTAGCTACGTAGGGGGGTGGTATTTATGGTCCAAATGAGGTCATCTGTGGTCACACACCTGAAGAAGGCTCCACGGCCGAAACGTTGTGTTCTCTTTCTTCTTTTTTTCAGCATGGAATAAACCTATTACTTGTTCATCTGTGATATGCACACCAAGAAACTTCCCCACAGCTGTCTCCACAGGGGAGCCATTGATGTGCAGTGGGGAGTGATCAGCATGGGCCCTCCTGAAGTCAGTTATCTCTTTTGTCTTATCTACATTCAGAGACAGATTGTTGTTTAAGCGCCAGTCAGCTAGTTGCACCGCCTCCTCTCTGTATGTTGCCTAATTGTTGTTTCTAATGTAGAAATGTTTATTTCATTGGTTATGTCTTCCAAGGGACAAAGTCTGGTAGTAACAGTCTTTGTTTCAGTCATGAACTGATTTTTACTTGTACGTTTACGTGTTCTCCTTCCCTAAGATGGTGGGACAAAGGAGCAAACTGAAGATTCCTAGTGAAACCAGCTGCTCTCTGATAATTAAATAGTGTCACATAGAGGAAAGGGTTTTCCCCTTGTTCATCCCTAACTTCTGCCTGAGACAGTCTCACGCTGTCTTCCTCTGTGTTCATCCAAGAACCAAGCCATTTGTAAAGCTGACTTTAAAGCTATGAGACAAGCTATGAGACAAAATCTATATCTCTAAAATCTCCTTAGAGAAAATTCTATAATTGTCTAGAATGCTGCCACTTGTCCTAGCTCCTGAGAGTGAAGAATTCTACATTGAGTGACTATGCACCCTCTCACTACCTCCTCAGGAAGTATCAACCCTCCAGCCCATGAAAAGGCAGCCCAGAAAACCCACACTGTTACATTTGATGCCTAATGTGTGTGTCTTTAAACCAAACTCACTATGACAGACAGATTGAGTCTGTTACAGGAAGCCGTCCGAGCCCTCACTGTGTCTGTGGCTGTCAAGAAGGAGGCTAAAGAGCTACAGCGGCAGGCTCAAGACATGTTACAGGCACAGCTATTCCATGCTCCAGGGGTCAGACTCTGCCCAAACCCGATATCTGCAGTATCAGGTGATTATACTGTCAGATGGGAGATACAATTATAGCCTCCCCTTCTGAACCCGGATCTGCAGCACCAGTACAGGTACAACCCAGCCACATCACGCAGAAAATTAATTCCTGATGATGTGGAAGCATACCTGTGAACATTTGGGAGGACAGCAGAAAGGCACTAGAGAGATCGCAACCCGTAGGCCAGCATAGTAGCTTTTTTTCTCTGTCATGAAGCTCAGAAGGCATATTACAACTTAGACAGCTCCTCCACCTCTGACTATGATCACCTCAAAATGGAGATTTTAGCCTGGGAGGGAGTCACAAGCCTCATCCAGGCACAACGTTTCCACGAATTGATTTACAATCACCATGTATCCACCTGCTCTCAAATGTTCGATCTAATTTACCTGGCCAAAAGGTTGCTGGGACCAAACACCTTATCCAAGAAAAAGATAGTAGAGCGTATCGTATTAGATATGTACATCTACCCCCTGAAATACGGAAAACTGTCACCCAAAGCGAGCTACAGACCGTGGAAGACTTCATGGCCACCTTAGAGAGACATCTTGCTGCTGTGAATATCACCAAAAAAGAACAGTCATCCAGCCTAACAAGGTCGAGGAACACTGCCGCTATCATCGTTGTCGCTATC